CCGCTATATACCCTGTACAAACATGAAGGCCATACCGCAGAACCTTTTAGAGGAGGTAAGGGACCATATTCAGGGCCCATGTAACTACCCTTAGATCAGGAGTTTTCCTTACAGCGCGAAGTCCCGGCAGAGGGTTTTAGGGTTTGTTTCGGCCCTTTGGGGTTTTAGGATTTGGGGTTCTTTGGGTGCTTTGGGGCATTTGGGGCTTTGAGGTTTTCAGGTTTTGGGCTTTTAGGTTTTGGGGGTTTGGGGCTTTTTAGGGTAAAGCTTGGCGATTAAAGACTGTGAGTATAAGGGGGAACATCCCGGGACAAAGCCTTAATCCCGGGACAAAGCCATAATTCACAAATTTGCTGAGTTCTGCACCAATCCTGCGCAGAGAGGGCGAACTTTGACACGCGCTTGCCTGCCGATCTTAGGGCTTTGGGGTTTCAGTCCTTTACGGCCTTTAGGTTGGGATGCTTCCCTTATGGTAAGGACTAGAATAGGGGGTGTACTAGAATCCCTATGAAGGACTGCAAGCCTAAGGGGAACATCCCAACCGACAGGGTTTAAGGCTTTGTGGCTTTCGGGTTCCAGCGCTTTTGGGTTTATGGGTTCTAGGGATAAGCTTCCAAGGCAGGGCTAAAGAAGTTATCAGGCTGACAGTCGAGTGTTCGGGGCTGCAGTTCGAGACCGCTCCGTAAAACTCGCACAGGCCCATACTTCAGACCCTTAAATTGAAAGGAGGTAAGGGACCATATTAAAGGACCATGCAGCTACCCTTAGAGAATCAGGACTCAGGCTTTAGGGTTAGCCAGGCTCTTGAATGAGCCGTCCCAGTTGCGGTGCGACAAGCCTAGACAGGGTGAACATGACGCCCCGCGTGCGGGGTGTCTCAACAGAAGGCTGCATGATATGATCAGAACCTCCAAAACCCCGTCAAACCCTCAACTCTGAACCCGCTAAACCCTAGGCTCTAAACCCCAAACCCCAAACCCGAAGCCCTCATAAACCCTCCAGAAGCTGAAGCACTCCAAAGCCTTCCCAGTGCTTAAGGCATGGGCCCCTTTAGGACTTTACTGTTTGCCGCAATGTCGCGCAGAAGCTGTGAGACTACCTTGAACCCGTTTAGGGTTTAGGGTTTAGGGTTTAGGGTTTAGGGTTTAGGGTTTAGGGTTTAGGGTTTAGGGTTTAGGGTTTAGGGTTTAGGGTTTAGGGTTTAGGGTTTAGGGTTTAGGGTTTAGGGTTTAGGGTTTAGGGTTTAAGGCCTGGCCTGATTCATCCACCAGCTGGACTAATTCCAGGTTGAGGCTCTCGTAGTCCGGCTCCCCGAGATCCTTTTCTGTGTGTTTCATGGACTCAGGTTTAGACAGTCTTTAGGGTTTAGGGTTTAGGGTTTGCTGGAAGGTTCATGGGTAGTTATAAGTATAGTTATCAGTACCCTAAAAAAGGCAGAACCACTTAGATATAACCACAGTTCGAACCGCCAAGTAGGTGGTCCAGCAAAAAGACAGCGGACAGCGCCCTGTGTGTTGAAAAGAGCTTATAACTCCAAAGCCTGAAACCGCCCCCCGCCCCCTTTTCCCCCCACCTCCTCTGCCGTCCCATGTTCGCCCCATGCCCCTGCCACCCCACCCATCCCCACCCCCTACCCTACCCCCCCACCGAATATATCCCAGGAGAAACCCAAGAAGGGCGACTTCAGCGCACGGGGCAGCTGAAGGCTGTCGTTTGGGGCTTGCAGTTCGCCAGCACTCACAGAACCAACGCTACTGGCTCGCTGGTAACTGCTGCTTTCATTAAGGTTCGGGCTTTATAGTGTTTTGTTCCAGAAAAGAAAAAACCGTGCCTAAACCCTCAACCCCGAACCCTAAATATGGGCGCCGCAGCGACAAGCGGCCGCTGCTTCGTCTTGGTTCGCACCAGCACCAGAGTCCTAACAGCTATTGGGCTCGGGGCATGATAGTTGCTTTCAGGGATATAGGGTTTCGGGATGTGGGGGTTTCCGAAAGTAGGGGTATCTTCTGGGGGTCCTTATTATAAGGGGATCCTACTATTTGGGGGTCTGTATTCGGGGCCCCTTATCATGATCATCGTAAACCCTATACAGGGTTTTGGGATGTAGAGTTTAGCGTTTAGGGTTTGGGGATACAGGGTTCCGAGGGTAGGGCTTAGTGTTGGGGGGGGTCGAGGGTTCGGCTTGGGACTTCCCTCCCGTAACCTGCTATGCTTGGTTCCCCCGTAGTTGTGGGAATAAGAAGGGTGGCCCTAAACCTGTCCTTTTGCTTAAAAAGGGTTATAAGGGAACCTGACCACAAAGAAAGGGCTTGGGGGGGATAGGGGGACACTAGTGGCCATCCTAGACAGTCGTGTTAGCTTGCGACCTAGGGGTTTAGGTTTTAGAGGCTTTAGGGTATAGGATCTGGGAATTTGGCTTTAAAGGTCGGGTGCCAGGGAAATTGGGCCGTCCCGGCAGTAGCAATAATTCTATTTTCGGTGGCCACAAACCTTAAATCGACCCTACTTGAAGGGAACTCCATTAGAGGGTCCAGGCAAACTGACATCGGAAGCGATAATCAGCACGCCTACACCCCAAAACCCTAAAACCACAAACCCACCCTATTCTCAACCCTAAATCCAAAGCCCTAAATATGGAAGAGAATTCGCTGTTAGGGAGCATGGGCTTTCGAGGACCTCATGAGACAGTGGCTCAGGGTTTGCATGGAGCCTAATGTACTGTAGGGGCCTTAAGAATTAGGGTTTAGGGTCTTGTTTTATTTATTTATTTGCTTTTTTTGGTGGGTTGTTATCGTGTACTTATACGAGGAGGCCATAAGGGAATACTATTATACCAGTAGTAACTATTCCGACCCCTATATTAGAGACTGTCCATTCCAGTCCTGACCTTGGTCTGCATCGTGACTTGCCTCGGCCCTGACACCTTCATCCCCTTCTATCAACTCCACACTAAACCCTAAACCCTAAACCCCAAACCCCAAACCCCAAACCCTAAACCCTAAACCCTAAACCCTAAACCCTAAACCCTAAACCCTAAACCCTAAACCCTAACCCTAGACCCTAAACCCTGGTAAGGCCTGGTGCTCCCCGTCGTCGAAGGAGAAGGAAGACAGCCGTATGTTGGAGACGACCGAGCCACGGAGCCTTGGGGACCCCAAGGCTTGGGAGTATTTGGGACTTAGGATTTAGGCTTCAGGGTTTAGGGTGTAGGGTTTCGGGTTTGGGGTTTCGGGTTTGGGGTTTAGGGTTTGGGGTTTAGGGTCTGGGGCTTGGGGTTAAGGTTTCGGGTTTGCCAAACCCCTTGGGGGTCTGGAGATAGGGGTTTGGGTACAGGGCCAATGGCAGTTTGAGTTTAGGGTTTGGTGCGAGGTTTCACGGGGTACTTTCGAAGATGATACCAGCAAACCCTGCCACTCGGACCCCAGGAACCTCCGTTCAAAATAGGAGCCCCAACATCACTTCGGAGACCCGTCAACCCTAAAGAGAGCTTGGAGACCCGGCCGTTAAACCCTAGACCCTAAGCCCTAAACCCCAAACCCTAAGCCCTAAACCCTAAACCCTAGCCCGAAACCCTAAGCCCTAAACCCTAAACCCTAAGCCCTAAGCCCTAAGCCCTAAACCCTACACCCCAAACCACCCTAAGCCCTCAACCCGAAGTGAGGAGAAAGGACGAAGGACTGAGCTCCGGACTCTCCGTTCTCAAGGGTCTCCGAAATGCGCGGCGCGTCATCATGGCGCGTGTCCTGCGAGGGTTTAGGGTTTAGGGTTTAGGGTTTAGGGTTTAGGGTTTAGGGTTTAGGGTTTAGGGTTTAGGGTTTAGGGTTTGGGGTTTGGGGTTTAGGGTTTAGGGTTTAGGGTTTAGGAGTATTCACCTCCCCCTAGCATTAAAACCCCTCTACCCCCTAATCCACCCATTTTTAAAGGCACTGTTGGTCTATAATCTGCCCTTCTTGGTGTATGTGTTACAGCAGCCACCTCCCACTAAAATAAAGACCCCTGCCCCCCCCCCCCCTCCCCCATTGGAGTTATATTGTAGTAGATAGGGGGGGGGAGGGGAGTATTCCACCAAGATTCTGCAAAGAAACACAAGGGGTGGCCGTAAGGTTAAGGCCTGGGTGGGCGAGCGCCGGGTGCTAGAAGCAATTCCCTTGTGAGCGGGTTTAGGGTTTAGGGTTTAGGGTTTGTGCTCAGGCGTCCCTCCATGACTGCGCCCCGCCGCTGAACAAGCTAGAACCTGAGCATGCCCAACGCCTGCCAGAGCGTAGCCAGCGCAGCACGAGCGCGGAAATCTACAACCCATCTTCAAGAATGCTTTGAAACCTCTGTACTTCAACCTCAAAACAGATCTAAAGGTTCTCCGAATGGATCTCGAACACTGCGCGTTCAGCAGCACATGAACCCCGTGCACTCATTCGAAACCTACAACCTTACGAAGCCTCAAGCCGAGACAAACTTTAAACTTACAGCAAAAGATACCGACCAGCCCGCAGAATAGGGAGCATGACGGGATTATAAATGGATGTTAGGGAACAACAAAACCACTGAACGCTATTTAGTTATAGCTCCCACGGCTTCCAATGATACAACGCCTCGCGCTGTGGCGACTCACGCACCACTGGGATTTCATGTGTGTGTGTGTACATTCGGGCCCTGTCTCACAAACAAACATGTTAATGTAATGGCTACGTCTATACGTCTATCTTCCGCCCTTTTTGACCATTTCCCTACTAGGTCATTACTTGGGACAAAAGAAAGGCACCCTTGCAAGGACAACCCCAAAGGAAGGAGCTAAATGCGCCACTCGGAATCCGGGGGGGCCTACCCTTAAAACCCCTAAACTCCTCATCCCTCAACCTCTAAACCTCTAAACCTCTAGACCCTAGACCCTAAACCCTAAACCCTAAATCCTAAACCCCCAAGGTCCTTGTCCTTGTTGTCCTTCTCCTTGTTGAGGCTTTCCATCTGCCTCTCGAGCTCCAGCTGTGCCTTGACCCACTCCTGGTCCCGAGCCGCCGGCTTTAGTTGAAGGATTAGGGTTTAGGGTTTAGGGTTTAGGGTTTAGGGTTTAGGGTTTAGGGTTTAGGGTTCAGGGTTTAGGGTTTAGGGCTGCCCTAACCCCTCGACATAAGTCTCAAGCCGTACGTGCCTAAACCCTCACGCTGGAACCCACCCAGCGTTTGCGGGCGTTGTTGGACTTGTGATCAGCTTATTTGGAGCTTCATCATGAAGACTGCGAAGGACCTGCTCCTGCTCTATCCCTAACCCTAAACCCTAAACCCTAAAATCCGGACTGCCCTGGGCCTGCTCTGTCTCTAACATCCGAACGCCCTGAAACCCGAAGCTCTGAGTTCCCCCATTTCAACCCTAATACAGGGGGCTTAATAATTAGGCTTCAGGCTTTAGGGTTTAGGGTTTGGAGGGTCAGTATAGTAGAGTTATCACGGGACCATACGGGAATACTAGTAGTAATTCTTCCGACCCCTATGTTATGTGTTGAGAGTTGCCTTGAGGAGGTTTGGAGCTCACGACGGACAAAAACGTCCACGCCTGTTCAGAGCAGATGTTTACGAGTGGTCCACTACAGTGCCCTAAACCCTAAACCCTAAACCCTAAACCCCAAACCCTGAACCCTGAACCCTAAACCCTATAAACCCTAAACCCTATAAAACCTAAACCCTAAAAACCCTAAAAACCCTAAAACCCTAAAAAACCTAAAAACCCCAAAAAACCTTTAAAAAAACCCTAAAAACACTAAAAACCCTAAACCCCAAATCCTAAACGCTAGACCCTAATCCCTAAACCCTAATCTCTCCGCAGAGGCGCGCTGAAAAGGCGAAGGGCCCGATCCAGTCCTCCCAAGACGGCCCAATACCCCTTTCGAGTCAAAACCTCGTTCCAACTTGTAAAGGTACCCTATACTCCCCTTAGAACCTTACTAAAAATGATACTGTCAACATCCTCTGAATATAGGGGCCTTAATCGTTAGAATAGGGTTTGGGGGGATTTTATAGTAGAATGATATAAAGGTACCGGGTAGCCCCATGACCATATCATGATAAGGGTACCCCTTTTGTTGGGGGAAGGAGACCCTAAACCCTAAACCCTAAACCCTAAACCCAAAAATGGCAGAAGGGTAGCACTGGGCTGCCAAGGGTATGAGCGTCTTGAGATCTCCAAACTCTTCGACTCCAACCCGGGTTTGGGATTTCGAGTTTAGGTTTAGGGCTTGGGGTTTAGGATTTAGGGTTTAGGGTTTGGTGTTTGAGGTTTGGGGTGTGGGGTTTAGGGTTTAGGGTTTAGGGTCTAGGGTCTAGGGTCTAGGGTATAGGGTTGGTTTTCAGTTTTGATGTTTGGTTGATGTTGTCATGCGCGTTTTCGGGGCCGGTGGTTTGGGTGCGGGTGCAAGGGGGCTGAGGGTTCGGTAGCCTGAGCCCTAAACCCGAAGCACCGGGGATGCGGGGCAATGTGGGTGGCAGAGTGCCTTTGTATTTGATTGTATCTTTTTGTAGTAAACTCAATTATACTCCAGACTGGCTCTTTGGCCTACAAACCCCTAAACCCTCAACCTTAAACTCCTGTAGGAGTTTGGGGCTTACCCTTCTTCCTAGTTGCTATCGAGGGTTGTAATATACCCCAAACGGTTAAAGGCTATCTTCTCAGCTGCCAAGTCTTCAAGTCAGCAATCTTGCCTCCCATTTGGAAGGCTGTGATGCTTGGCTGGAGCAAAGGGTTGCCTGAGCTGAGATCTGCAAATCTGCCGCGGCCACCCTCCGGTGGTGTAGGGTGTAGGGCTTCAGGATTACCTTAAGGCTCTTACTGAGAACCCCCCCCCCCCTTATAGGGGTCATGGGCAACTTACAAAAAGACAAGGTTTAGGTAGGCTCTGCACGAGACCCCAAAGCAAAGGCCCATACGACGTCGGCAGTGCACCGGTTGAAATTCCGGTTTCGGGTTTTAGGTGACCCTAAACCGAAACCCTAAACTTCCTAGGTAGGATAAGGGGGACCCTTAAACAGGTAGCCCTTCTGAACCCTCTTCTGGGTCTATATCCCCAAGGGTCCCCCTAATCCTATCCCCGAAAACTATGCAATCAGTTTGTGATCAATCAGCAAGGTGGGCGAGCACACATGCGTAAGCAGCACGCTGCTAAACGGGAGGCCGTGCGAGGCAGTACGCAGGACACCTGTGTCCAAACAGTCCTACCCCAAAACCCTAAACCCTAAACTCTAAATCCTATAAACCATAAAACCCTAAACCCTAAAACCCTAAATCTTAAACCCTAAACTCCTTGTAAGGTCTCGGGACTGACGGGATGGGCATCTGCGGACACCGGAGCCTCAAGAAGAACTCAACTCTTTCTGGACAACTCTGGGCTGGGCTGCTACCCAAATCGTTTAGGGCTTAGGGTTTAGGGTTTAGGGCTTAGGGTTTAGGGTTTTGGGTTTTGGGTTCAACCCCAACCATGGGCTGCCAGTTCTGGCGGAATCCTTGTTTCTTGCCTTTTCGTAATCTGGCGAGGTGGCAACCAACAATTTCGAGGCCCAGACCCAACACTCCCCCCCTGACATTGCTCTACCTGCAAATGCGTGAAATGCCGCCCTTACCATGAACATAGCAGCCCGCTAACCTCCAAGAAGCACCAATAATTCACCCTAAACCCTAAACCCTAAACCCTAAACCCTAAACCCTAAACCCTAAACCCCAAAGCCTAAACCCCAAAGCCTGATCCCCCCACATACCTTCTGACCGGGCCGCCCTCCACAAGCAACTCCTCAAGGACGCCGCCCTTCCGCTTCCACCTTCACAAACTGAGAACTCTCTGAAGTCGGGCTTTGGGTTTTAGGGGTTTTAGGGGTTTAGGGTTTTTTTTTGGGTTTAGGGGCTTACGTTTTGGGGGTTCAGGGGTTTTGGGTTTAAGGGCTTAGGGTTTAGGAGTTTAGGAATCGATACCAACCTTTCAACATGGAAAACATTCATATCGTGAAGAGGGGGATCAGGGGGGTAGGGGGATCAGAGGTGTGGGTTTCTTAGCCCAGGCGCAGTTTCAAGAGCGAGTAGGGCATCACCTGGGAAGCAGGCAGCAGCTGGTTCTGGGCTGAATTAACTCAGGCCCTACACCCTAAACCCTTTACCCCAAGAAAACAACCCTAAACCTTAAACCCTAGGGTTGCTAGGATGGCCTTCAAAACCCTCCTGCAAAATGGCCCGAAAACATGATCCTCCTAAACCCAACACGGGAACATGTAAAATACCCCACAAGGGCCTACCGGGGCTCTGGGTTTGGGATCGTGAAAGCCCTAAACCTCGGTGCATTAAGCTGGGACCTCAAAGTCTCAAAGAGCCAGTAGTTAGTTGAGATCAGCCCCTGAACCCGGAGGCAGCTAAACCCTCAACCCTTTCGGTTTAGGCTCTCATGCCTCAAGGCCTTGGGGTCTGGAGCCCTATATAAATCTTGAACTTGAGGCCCCGTAGCGGTCCAGGGTTCATCCCAAGTTTAGGGTTTAGGGTTTAGGGTTTAGGGTTCAGGGTTCAGGGCCTCGGGGCATGCCCAGTGCCTAAACCTACGTGAAAACCCAAATCCAAACGCCGAAGATCTAAACAATGCTCCGGAAAACAGGCCCCCGAAAACCCGAATATAGGGTTACAACAAAAAAAGGGACCATATGAGGAAGAATCCCTAAACCGTAAACAATAACCATAAACCCTAAACCCCTATACGAGGCAACCGCAACGCAGGTCCTCTGCAACCAGGACGCGGTGATCTGGTTAGAAACCACTCCTGCGCTGCTCTTGGAACCCCTGTCGAATATTCCCCCCTGATATATATAGATATATATATATATATATATACATATATATGCTACATATATACATACATATAGAAAATATATACATCTACACACACTTATCTATATATATATGTGTATATATATATACTTAGAAACAACAGCAAAGACTGTTTCAAGAACAGTCGAGATACGGATTTTCTCCAACAGCTTGCAGCTGCCGATCGTGGGAGGGAGTTCCGAGATCTTGTTGTACCTTAGGGGCTCGTGGTTTAGAGTCCTAAACCCCAAACCCTCAACCGTAAAACCGTAAGACCCCGCCCTAAGCCCTTACAACTTTAGAGTTTCGGGGTTTAGGATCTTGAGTTTGGGTTGGCGACGGTCATCCTACCTAACCCCTAAACCCTAAATCCAATGCCCTTTGGGTTCCCATAAGAATACGTAGCCCTCTAACTATACTCCCCTTAGAACCTTAATAAACATGATGGTTTTAATATCCTCTTGGGTTTTATATGAACAAATAATTCCCAAGGGGATCCAAGGGGATTAAGATAAAGGCTGCTGCTCGGGCAGGTGGGACTTCGATCTCGATCGCGCTCCGGATGTGTTCAAGGATTCGGGCGTTGAAAGGGAACTGCGATCATGTAGGGGTCTTAATAATTAGATCAGGGTTTTGGGGGGTTATGATAGTATAACTACAAAGGGGCCATAAGAGAATACTGCTAGCAATTTTTCCGACCCCTATATTGGAGGGACTACAAGGGTAGGAGTGGACATGCTTAGGCTCTGGGGTTGAGGCTTTAGGGTTAGGAGTTATGGCTCGGCATACTATCATTTTGGGGATTTCCAAAAAAACGAAAAAATGTGCGGGCATGGTCCTTCTATATATATATATACATACATACATACATACATATATGTGCCTATATATGTATATGCATTATGTAATACAGGGGGAATAATGGTAATTAGACAGGGCACCTGACAGCCTTGGAGAAATTCTAGGCAGATATGTGGAGTGTGTGTGCGTGTACCCTTGTTTTTGGAGAGAGATTGACATCTCTGTCTGTATCCGCGTGCTTGAAAACACACCCGAAAGTAGCTGTCCAGACAACATTATCTTTGATCCCTGGACAGTCAGGTTCATGACTCATGACTGTATAATGAGGATGTGGATGCTTGTTTGCCTTTGCATGTTGCGACTGCACAGCGCGCACATCAAGCTAGGCACAAGGAGGCTGACCTACTGGTGATCCAACCATAGCGAACGTCGGAAGCACACGCTCAACGACACCATGTGAGTTTAGACCTGGAGTTTGGGGGATTAGGGCTGTTACGACCATACAACACCACCTAAACTGGCAAGGCCCTTCCTCCTCACGCCGTCAACAACAATTATGCGCAAAGCCCTCGGGCTCAGCACTTTCAGGTATTGCAAAAGCCCTTGAAGCCCCTCAACTCGAAGCCGCTCAACCTCCAGCCCTGAAGACATTGAAGCGAGGTCTACGGTGTGGGCGTTACATAGGGTTTCTGCCTAGGGGTACCTACATGGCCCCCGAATATGGTCCCTTTGCCTTCTTCAAAGGGTCCTGAAGTATGGGCCCTTGGGTATGGAAGGGGAATATAAGGGGACCCCCATTTAGGGGCCCATATTACGGGACCATGTCACTACCCTTGGAGGGAGGGAGGCATTGGGGCCTCATAATTTGGACCAAACAGGTGCCCTTTTCTGGCTTCATGAGTTGAAGGGAACCTGAGAAACCCACAAAAAAGAAAAATAAACAAAAAACATAAGCCCTAAACCGGGTTCAGAGGCTGCCGAAGCACGAGGCCGATAGCTTTCGCAAGCCTTTCAGTACCTTGGGCTTAGGGTTTAGGGGTTTAGCGGTTCAGGGGCTTAGGGGTTTAGGGGTTAGGGGTTTAGGGGTTAGGGGTCTTGGGGTTTGCTGTTTAGGGTTTCGGGGCCGAGGGATGACTTTCTCTGTCGTGAACTCCTGGGCTTAACAGAGCCCCGCAATCGGAGGTGGGACTTCGGGCTTTTGGGGGTTCAGGGCTTTAGGAAGTTTAGGGCTTGTAGGGTTTAGGGTTTAGGGTTTAGGGTTTAGGGTTTAGGGTTTAGGGTTTAGGGTTTAGTGTTTAGGGTTTAGGGTTTAGGGTTTAGGGCTTTTTGGAGGCTTTTGTTCCTCTCTTCTTGGGAAACCTTGGAAGCTTGGAGATGTTTGGGTGCTCGCGGCCTGCTGTCAGCCGCCCTCTGTCCACCAACCCTAAATCCAAAACCCAAAACCCAAAACCCTAAACCCTAAACCCTAACATTACATTAAGTGAGTACGGGCACTACATTGAATTAACCCAGCTGTGCAACCCAACAGCCAGCAAGACAAGGACAGCTAGCTTCCGTTCCGTTCCGGCGTTCCGTTCCGAGGGCTTTGGGGTGGCAAATGGAAACCGGATCCTTCAGCTGTTGAGAATAAATACATATATGCACGCATACAAAGAAGTAAGTATGTACGTAATTACACACAAACGCAAGGCGTACATGTTTCTGTATCTGAATAGCGCCGTCCTCAAGATGGGTAGGTAGGAAACGAGCCTTGCTTGAACATATCTACTACCCGGGCAGCCTGAAAAAAGGGCTCTGTATTCTAACAGCGTCCCAAGAAGTGACCGTAATTTGGAGAACTGCCCAGATCTGAAGGAAACTTCCCAGCGCTTCGAGGGACACTAGCATCCTCAAACAGAACACCCAATATATGCACTCACGAGTATGTGTAAATCTGGAAAAATATCATGTCACACGCTCACTTTGTATATATGTATATGGAACCATAGCACATGCTCATAGCTAGATGGGCCCCAACCTCATTTAAGGTTAGCCCTCTCCCCTCCCTGATCCCAAAAAAGGGGTCAGGGTTTAGGGCTTAGGGTTGAGGGTTTAGGGTTCCCTCTCCCAAGAAAGTTGCAAAACACCGAATACGAATAAAACCATAGTACTAGAAGTAAAATACAAAGCAACAGCCGTAAGTAGCAGCACAACGCATTCTACGCCGAAACCAACATGATCTGCCTAACACCAGCTTAGTTGTCAATAATCCTAGAGGAACTAAAGGATAACCTTTGGGATTATCTAGGGATTCTGATACCCCAGAAAGGGTAAAGGCCACCGACTCTGCTACCAAGACAGCAAGGCGCTCCGATGTCGGATGGCAGCTTCTCTAGCTCGTTGTTATCCACATGCAGGATCAGAAGCCTTCTCTCAGGTTTAGGGTTGACGGTTGAGAGCTTAGGGTTTAGGGTTAGACAATCCCTCAAAGCCCCAAAAACCTGAACAAACCACTTCCTTCCATGAAGGACACAAGTTACCAACAGCAGCACAGGGCACTACGTCGAGGGTTCTGACTCTAGTTCCCAGGTGGAACCACCTTCGGGGCTCAGGGTTTAGGATTGCAGGTTGTGGGTTTAGGGTTTAAGAGGTTTAGGGTTTAAGGTTTAGGGTTTAGGGTTTAGGGTTTAGGGTTTAGGGTTTAGGGCTTAGGGTTTAGGGTTTAGGGTTTAGGGTTTAGGGTTTAGGGTTTAGGGTTTAGGGTTTAGGGTTTAGGGGGTTTGGGGTTTAGGGTTTAGGGTTTAGGGTCCGGGGGTTTTGGGTTTAGGGTTTAGGGTTTAGGGCTTCAGGCTTTGGAGTGATTGGGCGCCTGGGAGACAGTGTCGACATCGAGAGTCGGGCACGAAACTCTCTTTGGAATTACACCCCGAACTCAGATGCTGCGGGGTCCCAAGAACGCAAACCAACCGTCCCGAAGTGACCATCAGGGCTCGTTTTGCCTGCAAGGGGGAATTGGTACATTTCAGCAGTCTATTCTTGGTAAGCCCAAAACACGCAATACCACCTCAGGCAGTTAACCCTCAACCCTAAACCTTTTGTTTAAGGGGCAGGCGTCTTCGAGCAAAAGGACATGCAGGCTTACGGAAACTTAACCCCCAAAAAACAAAATAACTCCCCCAAAAAACAAATTGTCTGTGGGTCGTTGCTGTTCAGGGCTTAGGAATGAGGGACCAAAAGCCTTAAATCTAAACCCTCTGCTGCCGGGGTGCTGCTTGCACTCCAATATGCTGTCAGGCAGTGAAAATAACCTGCCGGGTGCCGCTCAACCCTAAACCCTAACTTTGAAGCCCGAAACCTGAACCCTAAACCAAGCCCGCTGATCAGAGCCTCGGGGGCTTCAGTGGGCACTTCATCGTCAGGGGTATTCGCAGGGTTTGGGGCTTCGTGGGGTTTGGGGCGCTTCGGGATCGTAGGGTGGAGCTCGGGTTTTTAAAGCAAGGGGAATATTCGGGTTCCTCACACTCGGTGCTTCATCTATGTGGATTTTGGAGATCTTACAGCCCTTGGAATTATGTTCTGGGTTTGGCCCCTTGTATATAAACCCCCTGGAAACATGTTCCTCAATATGATCCTCTTGAACCCAAGTAGAGAAAACATACACATATCCCAACGGCCTACCCAGACTTGCTTAGAGCCGTTCATTCCTTGCATTGGCAGGATTCTGTTAGGCACTTCCGGGTTTGGCCCGAGTCTGTTTCGCCACAGCAAGGCGCGAGGTCTTGCTGTAAAGTTTTGGGACCAGCCGAGGGGCCGATTGAAGGAGAGGTCCACGTAGCGCAAAGCTTTGGCACCGTGGAGAAAACCTGCTGCTTGAACCCACAAACCCGCAAGCCCGAACCCTAAGCCTACACACTCTAAACCCTAAACCCTAAGACCTACCTGGACCCTCTGTGTGCGCGAAAAAATGGCCACAAGCCAAACTTGCACCCAAAACAAACGATATGGGTCGGCTTGCGCCATCGAGGTCGAGGGGCTTAAGTCGCCCCCCCCCCCCCCCCTGTAGGGGGGGTGGCCTAGGCCTTGAGTTTAGGTTTCAGGGTTCAGGGTTTAGGGTTTAGCCCTTGAAGTGAAGGTTTTACTGTAGAGGGCGCTCTGTCAACACAGTGGAAAAGACAGAGGCATGCCAAGGAGTTGAGTAAAGATCAGCTCCGCCCAAGCAGACCCGAAGATGCAACAGTCGAATAATAGTGATAATATAGCGAGGAAAAGGGCCCTTCTAAAATATTGCAAATACAATCGCGTGTTCCTTGCATTTGACTCGCACTAGTTTATAAGAAGCGTGAGTGCAGAATGAACGATAAAAAGACCCGGGCGATGATTCCCAAGCTTTTCGTGCTGGGATTCTTGGGAATGAAGCCCTCAATCATTAGGACCCCAACCGCTGCCGCCCCATCAGTGTCTGCAAAACTGACGAGGCAGGTCTCCGCCCGAAGATTCGCTGGAGCGCTGTTGCCAAGAAGCTGCCACAGGAACAATGAGATCAGAAAGTCAATCTGAACCGGTTGCGCTGTTGTGACGCGAACAACCAAAGCCGAAGCTGAAGGGCCGGAGGGCTACGGGCTTTCAGGTGTTGAACTACTTGCGGCTGAGGTGGGTCTGTGCAGGGAACGTGGTGAACAACATGTCTTCGATAAAATTCGACAATTTCTCATTTGTATATGCTTGTAGATGCTTGTATATGTTTGCATAGCGTCGGCACCTGCCTGCTGCCGCTGGCGCCGCGCCTTTCGGCAGTGCTTTTGCGCCCTACGCAGCTCCTGCGCCACGACGCACGGCTTTTCGTACGTGCCTGGCTTGTGCTTCCGCTTCTGCGCTTGTGGAAGCCACGTAGCCACGCCGCCATTGCAGACTCGTTCAGCTTGGTCAAGCCCCTTCTTCTAGACCTCCTTGCACAGCGTAGCAACCACGCAGGTGGTTTGCTGCCTCAGCAAGCGGCTGATGATAGACTTCTGCACACTGACCGTGCGGTAGACAAGACGACAGCTGCCTCCGCCACAGCTGCCTCCTACTCTCGTGCTGCATCCAAGTTTCGACACCATGTCGTGCGAGGTACGTAAGGCACTGCTCGCAGTGGTCAGTCGCGAGCTTCCGTCGCTTCCACGACAAAGCTTCGGGGCATGGATCTTGAGCCTGACCGCGCCTACCTTGTTCGCCCACACGAAGACCGAACGGGGCGCGCAGTGATTCACAGGCTTGACAAACAGCAGCATGAGTAGCGTGTTGCGCGAGCCGGAGGAGTTTGACACATTCCAAGAAGCCGCGTTGGCCGCCAAGAGGGTGCAGAAGCGTTCCCACGCTGATGGAAGTAGGAAGCCTGCTCGTCAGCAGCACAGTCAGTTTCCGGATGGAAGTAGGAAGCCTGCTCGTCAGCAGCACAGTCAGTTTCCGGCATCCTCGTCGGCGCCGCCTTTGACCGGATAAGTGCGCCGAGCCACCTTTCGGAAAGCCTTCTGCACGTCCAGGGACCCGCGATGCCGCGATGTCGCGTCAGCTGTGGGGCGTTAACCGTCATTCCAAGGGCTTGAGCCGAGCGCTGACGTGCACACAGACATACATATTTATATGTATATGTATATACATATATATGTATATATATTCACACACACACACACAGACACCCACACACCCACGCCCGCCCGCCCGCCCGCCCGCCCACCCACCCGCCCACCCAAGCCACCCACCCACCAACGCACGCACACAAGCATGCACGCACGCACATACCCACACACCCACGCACCCACGCACCCACACACCCACGCACTCACGCACCCCATGCACACACGCACCGACGCACCCACGCACCCATGCACCCACTCACTCGCACCCACGCACCCACGCACCCGCGCACCACGCACCCGCGCACCCACGCACCCGCGCACCCACGCACCCATGCACCCACGCCCCGCATGCCCGCCCGCCCGCCCGCCCGCACACCCAAGGATTGAAGTAGGTCAGCAATGGCCAGCGGAAACCCTCTCTCAAGCAGCATCATCAGGAATACGTTTTTGTCGCTCCTCACGATACAACTTTAACGAAAGACCGTGGTCGAGTACCGGATCATGGTTGCGGAGGAGTTAATCGGCTGGAAGAGATTCTATTATTCATCTCTTCCAGCAGAGTACCCTTGCGCGGGGATTGACACAGGGTTTGTAGGGTTTATATAGGGCTGATATAGAGTTCTGAAAGGTTCGCAGGCTTTATAGGGTTTCCATAGGGCTTATATGGCTGAAAGGGTCATAGGGCTGAGGCAGGCTCCGTGGCAACATCGCCTCGGTGCCTCGCGGTCTGTGCATGGTTTCAGGATCGGATTGGGGCTTTTCGTAGTCTCAAGGCAAGGGGCCGTCTGGTAGGAAAGAGAGCTGGTTCCGCGAGAGGTCCAGTACCTGCCACAAAGCAAAAGGAGGAGGCTTCAGGCTTCAGACCCAAACCCACAGGCGCTCAACCCCAAACCTGGACATTTTGGGCGTGGGGCTTCTGCTTCGTGTGTATGAAAGGGCACCAAAGTGCATTCTTGTGTCCCCAAACTCTAAGGCCGGACTCCTCTCCCATCAGCTCACTGCGCTGCTTACCCTCCCTTCTTGCCCCACGCAAGAGGCCCCCAAACACGAGTTATGAGATACAGTTGGGGTTACAAGTATAGGGTCACCTAGCTAACTACAGGTGACGTGTAACCTTGGGCTTCTTATATAACAATACTTCCAACTACCCAGAGAGCCTAAACCCTTCAAGAGTCTGCCGCCCGCGCCTGGAGGCTCGCGACAAAGGGCCCGGAGAGAGCCCCTTTCAAGGACAAACTTCAGAAGGGTTCAAGGGGGGCTGCATTTCCGTTGGAGCCTTGGGGGCTTGGCAGAGGCATCCCCAAAATTCTCAAGCTAAACCGCTGAGGCCCAAAGCCATGGCTCATGATAAGGGGTCGCGTGAGGCCGTGAAAGGGCCGCAGAATTGGAGTGCTGAGCAGGAAGTTGAAAACACAAACCCTTACAAATCCTGTCTTACAACCAAAACCTCCTATACTCCGAAAACTTTTCAACTAATTAACCCTAAACCCTAAAAAAACCCTAATACCTAAATCCTAAACCCTAACCCCACACCTGGCTCCACCATCTGCAACCGGTTTCGATCGCAGGCGAAGATCTCCAGTCTATACCTCAACCAGAAGAGCTCAGCATCCCTAACTAGGGGATATGCCTTCATTTGTCATAAGGCCCCACCCCATAATTGTGTTTTGGCTTGAGGAAATCTACCTGGAGTCGCCTTCTACGTTCCTGAGCAAAAAAAAGCAAATCTACCCAATAATCGGGGTATAGTTCAATGATGTTCAATGGCCCAGAAACAGCCAACAACCGTGGCCATAAAGCGGCCTTGAAGCTGCAACCTACGGCTCTTTGGAAAGAGGGGTTCCGAAGTGCCCTACATCCACATGGTCAGAATTCTTCCCCCTCCTATCTCTTCAAGGCATCCCGGTAGGAGCACCTTCCTCCCCAAATCCCAATAAAAAGCCGCAAGTACATGGAGTCCCGACGGGTCGCGGCTTCTGATGCTGCTCGTTCTGCGCAGGTCTCCTGGGCATTCGGAGGGGGCGCCGGACCCTTTGCTGGGAGGGGGGGGGGGGGGGGGGTGAAGAAAACATGGTAGCCTCAGAGTCAAGCTGTGCTCCTATAAAAGTTGATATGCTTACATAGATTATATATGTATATATATATATGTCTGTATATATATATATATATATACTTGGTAGCTTAGTAGCCATAAACTAAGGGTGCCCTTTTTTGGGTTGGTTACTTATTAAGGAACCTTGAGCCACGAAAAGGGCTTTCAAAAAAGCACGGGGCTGCCAAGTATACTTAACCTGATGCGCAAAGCCTGACCTTACGCCCCGCGACCCCAACCCTTCAACTTCTCACACGCGCCACACCATGCTTGCAACTTGCGGGACCGAGGGTCTACGGGTTATTACGGGTTTTATTGGGGGGTTAGAAAGCACCAAGATCGTATTCCCTTAGGGTCCCTTTAGATTTATCCCAAAAACCCTATTGTGTTTTTTTATGGCTGTACGGGTTTGCAGGTTTAGGATTAGGGGGTTGAGGGTTTAGAGTTTACAGGTTTGTCGGGTTTAGGCGCCTTCGGCTTGAGAGCTGCGATTGACACAAAGTCTGGCGGCCCCCTTGTTTTGGGGCTCAATCCTTGGGGGATTTCGGGTGGCTGTGGGCTGTGCGCTTCTGAGACTTGTACTCCGAACCCTAAAACCTAAACCCTAAACCCTAAACCCTAAACCCTAAACCCTAAACCCTAAACCCTACAACCTAAACCCTAAACCCTAAACCCTAAACCCTAAACCCTAAACCCTAAACCCTAAACCCTAAACCCTAAACCCTAATCGTCGAGCCGCTCCCCCCTGCTGAGACAGGTCAGCTCATTCTTCGACCTCAAGAAGCAGGCAAGGGCGTAGAATCCAGGGTTTAGGGGTTAGCGCTGAGGGTTTCGGGTTTAGGGTCTAGGGCTTAGGGTTCCTGCGCTTCCTGGTTTCGGGTTTAGGGCTTAGGCTTTCGGGTTTAGGGTCTAGGGCTTAGGGTTCCTGCGCTTGGTGCTAAAGCCAGGGCGGGGGCAGGGGGAAGGAGCGGGGGATCCCATGAGAATAAGGACTTGGAGTGAGCAACGCTAAACCCTAAGCCCTAAATAAACCCTAAACCCTAACCCCAAAACTCAACATGTCTTAGGCAGCAAGGCAACAGGCGCAGCACCACCACGCTGTGAAGCTCGTGGAGGGGCGGCTCCTGCGATTGAGGTTTGGGGTGTTTGGCGTTTTGGGGGTTGTTTGGGGTCTTGGGGTTTAGGGTTATTTAAGGTAAGGATTTAGGGTTATTTGGGGTTATTTAAGGTTTTTTAGGGTTATCTGGGGTCTTGGGGTTTAGGGTTATTTAAGGTTTGGATTTAGGGCGGCCTTTGGGGGCTTGGGGCTTCAGTTTTGTGCTTGGACTTGAGGCTCCAATCAGCAAACGTATCTCAGCGCGCGGAACTTGCTCAAGAGATGCTGCACGGCAGTCCTCTTGCAGCTTGCAGTGGGTGATCCTTGAACAGGCAAGCGCACCCTTCAACGGGCAAGCCCCCCAAAATCCCAAACCCTGAGCATAAACCCCAAAGACAAACCGTTCAACACCCCCAAGGCATATCAACAAAAGCTAAACCCAAATCCTCCCCCACTGAGGCAAGGACTGGACAGATGGTGGATGGAAAAGGGAGGGGGAGGGGGGAAGGTTCGGGCTCTGGTGAGAGTGGTGAGAAGCTCGCGTGTTAAACTTCGAGATAGTTCTATGTGCGGTCTTAAAAAACTTGCCGTCGTCCCTGACAATTGCCACCCTGAACCCTAGCTAACATGAGCCCCTATAAACCAAGTTTCATGATCACCATCATCACCATCACCATCACCAGCATCATCATCCACTGCACTGAGCCCGAAGTCAGAAGGGTCATTCGAAACAAAACGGGGCTAGGCAGAAGTGAGGGTTTCACTCCTTCCTACAAGCCCTCTAAACCCTACGAGCCCTTTGAAACTTTCTCAGCCCCCAGAAACCCTATGAACCATGTTAAGCCCCCTAGACTGTATAAGCCCCAGAAACCCTATTCAAAGCAAACAGGCTCGAAAGGTCCAACAAGGCGCTCGATGGTGTGGACACCAGACACCTGATGGAGGTTGGCCTTACCCAAAAGCTCCTCTGTAGTACCCTTGTGGGGTAGTACACTGGGATCCCCTTATAACCCAAAAGGGAACTGCATAGGAGCCTTTAGGTAAAGCCTCCGAACACCATCAGCTTAAACCCATTCACCGGCGGTTCGGTGGTCTCGGGGCGAAGGGTGGAAGGCTTCCCCTGCGGGAAGTCCAAGCTTGTATCCAAGGCTTTGGGAGGGGGGGGGGGGGGTGTTGGGGCTCTTATACTCTTATACTCTGTAGCCCCTTAAAAAAAAGAGCCCTTTGGGTGTTGGGGCTCTCATACCCTTTAGGTGTTGGGGCTCTTATACCCTGTAGCCCCCTTGACAGAGAGCCCTTCCCTAAACCCTGAACCCTAAACCCTACACCCTAAACCCTAAAACCCTGTAGCCCCCTTGAAAGGGAGCCCTTTAGAAGGTTGAGCATGCCGACAATAAAGCCTCACGGACTCGCAGCCCGTCCTGGCTGCCGACTTGAAGGAAGGCGAGAGACCCCCATTTTGGGCACTTCAGTGGGGTTTTAGGGTTTATAGGGTTTAGGGTTTTCTATTTTTTAGGGTTTAGGGTTTAGGGTTTAGGGTTTAGGGTTTAGGGTTTAGGGTTTAGGGTTTAGGGTTTAGGGTCTAGGGTTTAGGGTTTAGGAAACCATGCACCTGAACCCGCGAAACACATGCTTGCAAAACCCCTTTTTGGTTGTTATGAGCTGTTCAAACCTCTACCTAAGGGAACCTCACTTGTTGGGCATATCTGCCCTTGCAGAATCACGCGAGGTAAGCCCTGAACACTAATTCCGAACCAGATCCATAGCCCTAAACCCCAAACCCCAGACCTCAAACCTTAAACCCTAAACCCTAAACCTTAAACCCTAAACCCTAAACCCCATGCAAACCCCAAACCCCAAACCCCAAGCCCCAAACCCCAAACCCTAAACCTTAGCTGCCCCGTGCCTTCGCAAGCTTCTGTGCCATGCCAGGAGGCACCTGACGATAGAGGCATGGTCTTCGACCGTGGCAACAAATTTTGTGTAGGTTCCCTACATGGGGGTGTGTCGGATGCGCGATTTCAAGCACTGTTTTAAAATAATTCACAAAGGTGTAACATGATTTTCAAGCTGACCCAGTGAACACTAGAAACCTGAAAACTAAACCTTAGAAGCCTCAACCACGCAACCCTGAAGTATACGAACCCCAAACCTGAAGCCCAATCCTCTCCACCGTCTCCCAAAGCAAGGGCTTAGGATTTGGGGTTTAGGGTTTAGGGTTTGCGGTTTAGGGTGTAGGGTTTAGGGTTTAGGGTTTAACCCCTAAACCCTAAATCCTAAACTTTAAACTCCCCCAAGCCGACGGACACCAGGGGGGGTTGCGTGGGTTCGAGCGAGAAGCGGTACTTATAAGAGGCCCTAAACCCTAAACCCCAAACACCAAACCCTAAACCCTAAATCCTAAACCCTAAACCCTAGTTTGAGGAAAGCCAGTGGTGCCTCCCGCCGGTGTGCACGGATGCCGTCGAACTGTCGACGGATGACCTCCTGAGGTGGCTAAGCGCCATGGGGTAGGGTTTAGGGTTTTGGGGTTCGGGGTTCGGGGTTCGGGTTCAGGGTCGAACCTACAAATTCTGAACCTGCAAGCGCCTCGGTCTCAATGAGACGCACCCTACTTAAAGGTTTCATGGCTAGATCAAACTGCACAGGAAGCCTACAGGAACCTTCTGGCGGAACCCAAAAACAGATCCCAAACCCTAAGCCCTGAGCCTTGTACCCCTACCATACTCTTCAGCCTGGAACCTGGTGAGACTTCTCCTCATCCTTGAAACCCAGTTGTGGGACTATAGGGCTTGGGGTTTAAGCAGGCTCCTTCCCCACGCGCGACTCCACGATGATCTTGGCTCGGTATTGGCCTGCATTGCTTTTGTTTAGGCGCAGGCAGTCTACGAGGCTTGCAGCATACACTTTGGGGCGTTTAGCTTGGGCAGTGGCCTCGAGGTTGGTATTTTTTTGGGGGGGGGCTTAGGGTTTAGGGGTGTAGGGTTTAGGGCGTAGGGTTTTTTCGGGTTTAGGGTTTAGGGTTTAGGGTTCAGGGTTTAGGGTTTAGGGTTTAGGGTTTAGCTTGGGTGAGGGTGCGGCTGCGGGTGCGCTTTGAGGTTGAAGTTGATAGACGGGTGTAAGCAAATACCTACCCTAAACCTAAAAGACCTCACAAAACCCTGTAAACCCTGTAAACCCTACAAACCTTATGAACCCGATAAACCCTGTAAAACCCGTAAACCGCATAACCCCCAAAAAACCCTGCAAACCCTAACCCTACGCTAAGCCCCAGTCATATACCCGTGAACCTCCAAGCTAGCGTCCGGGGCACCCCAGTTCGCGCCCACTCGGCCGAAGCGCGCGGAAGGCTTTGCAGCGGGCTTGTAATCCTTGGGTGTTGGGGGGGTTCCCGGGTTTAGGGTTTAGGGCTTTGGGTTTAGGGCTCAAGGTTTAGGGCTTTGGGTTTAGGGCTTAGGGTTTAGGGCTTAGGGTTTAGGGGTCAGTGGCGTGAGGGTTTAGGGGCTTCAGGGCCGCAGGCGGGTCGGGGGCTCCAGGGCCTTTGGGCGGTTGGGGTTGAGGGTTTAGCTGTGGAGCGCAGCCTGCGGCCAGAAGGCCGAACAAAACCACGAGCCGAGCAGCATTAGCGAAATGAACATAGTGATAACAACAACAATACAGAATGATTGTGATCATGATTCCGAAAAAACCATCATTCTCCATAAGCCCTAAACCCTAAACCCTAAACCCCTAGACCCTAAACCCCCAGACCCTACACCCTACACCCTACACCCTACACCCTACACCCTAAACCCTAAACCCTAAAGCCTGAATCCTGAACCCTAAACCCTAAAAACCCTAAACCCTAAACCCTAAACCCTAAACCCTAAACCCTGAACCCAACCAATGTCGCATAACTAACCCCCGAAACACCCCCCCCCCCCCCAGATTAGATCCTCCAAGCTGCTCGTGGCATGTAGAGCTCTTTCTCGCTCTCCTCCTCCTGCTGCCCCCCTACTCGCTCCCTTCCAATGTGGTTTCAAAGCCCTAAACCCGAAACCCTAAACCCTAAACCATTTTGCCCTAAACCCAGATTCCTAATATTCAAGGGGGGCTTCGAAGCGGAATCATATACCTGCCGGCTTGGCGCACCTTATGTTCACTCGTTGTTTTGTGCGGGGTGACGTGGTCTGATTTAGTGGTAGGCGGAGCACTCTGGAATAATGCACGCTTTCAAGGTCATCTAAAACTACTGCGTAAATGAAGGGTCTTAGGCTTTCACTGCTGGTTGGGTTTTGGGGCAAGTATTATGTCTTGTTCCATAAACGACAAACATCTTTGTGCAGTAGGCTTGTTCCAGAAGCGTCAAACAACAAGAGAAGCAAAAATGCTGTAGCTACCATTCAGGGGGGCATGTTCGCCAAAAGCATGAACGCTGGTGACCGTGCGTCTTGTTCCAGAAACCTCAAGCAGCCGGAGAGGCAAAAATGCCTAAATGCCAATGTTTCGGGCAAGGTCGCCATATGAATGGTGCTTACTACCCCTTCCCCTCCAGTCCCCAAACTCATAAAACTCAGTCCCAAGCAGAAGAACCCAGGAAACTGAGGAAACGACCAGAGAGACCAAGAGCGGCCACCAACTACCTAAACCGGCAACCCTCCTCCAGCCTAAACCTTAAACCCCTGAGCCCCTAAACCCTAAACCCTAAACCCTAAACCCTAAACCCTAAACCCCAAAAGTGGGTTACCAGGACCCCGGGCCTTCAAGTGGTCAACATGACAGTATCCTGTGAGACGAGCATGCCGAGCGACTGTCCCACGTCCCGAAATGCTTCACTTGCGGGTTTAGGCCTTCTTTAGGGTGTCGATTTAGGGTTTAGTGTGTCCTCCTCGCTGGCAGAGGGGGAAGCGTGGTGGTCATTGAAGTGACCCAGAAAGTTTCCGCAGAGGTAGTGGTTGATGCCGCGCATGGCACAAGGTCCGCAGAGCGCACGCGCAGTTCTAGTTAGGGCTTGTCGAACCTACAAACTCACGGGCCTGAATCCAGTTGGGCCCCCAGTCTGTAAGGGGGGCCCTGAAGGCCCCCGAAGAATTTCAACCCTAAGTCCTGGTTGGTCCATGGAGCTGGGGAGTGGCTTAGGGATCTTAAAAGGTGAAGGGGGTGCTCTGCACTGATGAGCTCCTTGCTTGAATGCAGGGTTCAATGGTAGGGAGGGTGATTCTATGAATCAGCCTGAAGAGCAGCAACTTCATAAACCACGCCAAACGCCATTCCTACAATCTTCGGGATCTATCGCTTGGACCTGCGCTTCTGTACCTGAGCCCACTGTATGCTGCGGGCCGCAACTTCGAAAAGTTCCTTGAACACCCCCCACAAAGTCGCAAATCGAATCGCGCCCTCTAAGTCCACCGCAAGTCTGTTTAAGCACCCGAAACACATGCCTCCTCACTGACATTTCGCCCTGGAAGACCCTGAAAAACCCACGGCTTCTGAACCCTGCTGAGGCATTGCAATGGACTGGGTAGAATGAGGGGGGGATGCTTTGATTCGAAGTACAGGGCTGTACGTCCATGATATTTTGGTACGAATTCGGACTGCAAAGGGATTTTAAGCTCCAAGTGTACAACTTCAGGACGTTGTCAGGCTTCGCGGCGTTAAGGCCCTTGAACTTTCCAGCGGCGTTGGGCTGCCCTTTGCGCGCATGAAGCGCGGGGGCGGTCTAGGTTGAAAGCCTGTGGGCCATGACCGAAAGCTTGTCACACATTTACGGCCTTTCTGTAGGATTTAGAGGGTTTAGGGTTTAGGGTTTAGGGTTCAGGGTTCAGGGTTTAGGGCGTGGTTTAGGGGTGTTGAGTGGCAGTCGCATGGAGCCGCTTCTGCCAGTGTTGCAGAACTTCCTGAAGCGTAACCTAGGAAGACACGGGCGCCCTTTCACTGTCACCCTAAACCCTGAACCCTAAAACCTAAACCCTACGAACCCTACGAACCCTACGAACCACTAATAAAAAGGACAACATTGGCCTCCTAAAAACCCCTAAAAGTCGATCCAGGGCTTTCAGAGGTAGGGTTTAGGCTTTAGGATTCAAGGTTTAGGCAAACTCGAACTCCCCGAAAACGTACGCACTGGCCTGGCCCTGCTGGTCGTCGTCGTCGTCGCCCACAACCGGGGCAGTTGGCGCCTCGGGCACCTCCTCGAGATGGGGTGGGTGGCTTCGTCCGTGTAGTTCGGGGACTGGGTTTAGGGTTTAGGGTTTAGGGTTTAGGCTTTAGGGTTTAGGGTTTAGGGTTTAGGGTTTAGGGTTTAGGGTTTAGGGTTTAGGGGTTAGGGTTTAGGGTTTAGGGTTTAGGGTTCTAGGGGTTTTGGGGTTAGGGGGTCTAGGGGGGGTTTAGGGGTTTAGGGGTGGCGGGTGTTTAGGGGTTTAGGGGTTTAGGGGGTTTAGGGGTTTAGGGGTTTAGGGGTTTGGGTTTAGGGGTTTAGGGGTTTAGGGGGGGTTTAGGGGTTTTAGGGGTTTAGGGGTAGGGGTTTAGGGGTTTAGTGTTTAGGGGTTTAGGGGTTTAGGGGTTTAGGGGTTTAGGGGTTTAGGGGTTTAGGGGTTTAGGGGTTTAGGGGTTTAGGGGTTTAGGGGTTTAGGGGTTTAGGTTTTAGGGTCTAGGGCTTCGGGGGTTTAGGGCTTCGGGGATTTAGGGCTTCGGGGGTTTAGGGTTTAGGGCTTCGGGGGTTTAGGGCTACGGGCTCGAAAGTCCTGGAGCTCATCTGCCTTACGCGCCCCAACCCTGCCCATACTCAACCCTGCCCGCAACCGCTCTTCTTGAAGGTGTAGGGCTTGTAGGGTACCCTAAACCCTAAACCCTAAACCCTCAACCCTCAACCCTAAACCCTTCTGGGGTTTAGGTGTTGGGGTGTAGGCTTTGGGGCAGATGGCCGTTGGGTCCAAGGCTTACAGTACGGTTTGGGCAACACAAGCCGCGATGGCGGCTGTGGCACCTCTTCCCTTGCAGCCAGCATCAGCCTGTAGGGTTTAGGGTTTGGGGTTTGGGGTTTAGGGTTGAGGGTTTAGGGTTTACGGTTTAGGGTCTGGGGTTGGGGTTTAGGGTTCTGGGCGTAGGGCCTGTGGACTTTGGGAAAGGCGCGGTTCAGGGCTTGCTGGCTGAATGTCCTCACCCTTTAACGGGGTGACCGTGGGGGTTAGGATTCAGGGTTTTGAGTTTAGGGCTTAAGCCGTAGGGCTTAGGGCTTAGGGCTTAGGGCTTAGGGCTTAGGGCTTAGGGCTTAGGGCTTAGGGCTTAGGGTTTAGGGTTTATGTTTCAGGGTGGGTCCTTAACCCGCAAACCCTAAATCCTGAACCGACGCTTGAAGGCTCAGGAGTGAGGGCATGAAGGTGGGGAAGAGGAAGGTCAGGGGGGCCGGATGGAAAGAGGGGAGTGGGCTTAGGGTTTCGGGTTTAGGGTGTTGGGTTTCGGGCTTAGGGTTTGGGATTTAGGGCTCCCATGAAGGGGGGGAAGGGGGTAAAAGAAGAAATTGTTGTCACATAGTCCGGAACAGTGAAAGAGTTTATGGTTCAGGGCCGAATTAGGGGTTCTGAGCATTTCAGGGTTGGGGGGCCTCAGGGTTTGAGGCTGAAGGGTTCAGAGAAGGGCCCGAATCCCGACTGAAGCCCAAAACTCGAAACCCGAAACTCGAAACCCGAAACCCTGAAACCCTGAACCCTGAAATCCTGGGAGCCCAAGCCCTAAAACCCTGACCCTCAACTCTCCAGCCTAGTTCATCGCATTTAACTCGCCCAGACCCCCACTCTAGTCTCCTTAGCTATCACCTCGCACCGGTCCATTCTCATGGTTCCCTTACAATTTCTCTATAATATCCCTCAAAACCTTATTCTAACTACTAAGGCCCCTATACTTACTTCTCCAATAACAACTGAACCGCAGCTCACCCAACAGACTGCTGGGAAGCGCACTGATAGGCGACTTCCACATCTTCGACCAGAACATCTTCCTTGCCTCAAGTGCGAGAAACAAGCTTGAGGGATCTGAGTTAGTACCCGAAGCCTGAGTTAGTACCCGAAGCCCCAAACTGCAAACTCCTCAGCAGATCATCTCTACACCCCACAACCCTTAAAACTGAACCCCCTAACTGAACCCCCTAAGGCCCCTAAGAATCCCTCACATGCCTTTAAGGCGACAGAGACCTGAAGGGTTGCTGATGCAGTTTTGTGTGGAGTTGAGTCGGTGGGTATGTGCTTGTGGCTCCTTGGCTTCCAGATAGTGAGAGCGTAGGCTTTGGGGGTTTGAGCTTGCGGCCCAACTGGTGTATCTGACCTTGCTTATATTTTGTATAACCCTAAACCCTAAACCCTAAACCCTAAACCCTAAACCACTAAGAGGCAAAGGAGGCCGTCCGCAACATCTTGTGACAGTCACCAGCAGTCTCGACATCCTTGTCACTCTCCACCAAAGGTTTTAGGGTTTAGGGTTCAGGGTCCCTAAACCCTAAACCCTAAACCCTAAACCCTGCACCCTGAACCCTAAACCCTGAACCCTACACCCTGAACCCTAAACCCTAACCCTAACCCTAAACCATGTTTAGGGTTTGTTTAGGGTTTAGGGCAGAATTTGCGCCCGTAGAGGAGATTGGCCACCCTGAGGCTTGGCATCCTAAACCGGTGTAATCCTCATGGTGTTTATCTAGCATGACCCTTAAAACCCTATGAATAATATTCCTGAATATGATCCTGTTAATAACTTAAACCCAATAAGGCAAAACATACACTGTCCCAAGGGCCTACCTAGTTATGAACTCCCAAACCCTGCAGCCCTAAAGACCAGCGAGGCCCCCACGCAGCTTGAGCTTTGCATGTGCTGTCGCCAAGCGGATAAGGGCCTTGTGTGGCGGCGGTTTGAGGTTTGCTTGTGCTTAGAGCAGTTTCAGGGTTTAAGGTTTTTGGGCTTGGGCCCCTTTGGGTGCTATGAAGGGGCCTGACGGCGTGGGCACTGTGGGCTTCGGGGTGGAGATGCGGGGCTCAAAGGGTGCAGGAAGAGCCCGACCTCCAGGGTTCTCGTGGTCACCGCCAACCTGTGCAGATGGCTCAGGAGATTCATGGAGGATTTCGAGGACAAAGGATGAGGCAGGTAAGGGATGAGGGTGTTGAGTGTTTGGGGCTTAGGACTAGGACAATTGGGAACTGTATTTGGTGGCTATGCAGCTCTTTCGGTACCATGAACAGGTCGGGGTTAAGGGGGCTTATAGCTCTGAGCCCATCTTCGAACCCTAAACCCTTTCAACTCGTCGTCGCCATGCTAAAAGTAGCACAGCCATGTGCACTGGTAGGGTCCGGCATTCCCCCCCCCCCCCCCCCAGCCCTGACGCTGCCTGGGCTTGCGCTCGGAGTTTTCGGCCTGGACATCGGCAAAGCCGCTCTGAAACCGCATCCTGGCAAAGGTTCAGGGCTTAGGGTTTAGGGTGTATGGGTTTAGGATTGAGGATCCAGCAAATGGTGCCGTTGGAGTAGACTCTAAGTTGTATCGTCGAGAGTTTGGGGTCTAGAGCGCGGTAACACATCAGCCAGTCCTCATCTCCACATACTTCTCCGCGACGTAGTCCCTTGCCTCGCTGTGGCACTTTCGGCATGGGGCAGAGCCTAGAAAGCACTAGAAGGATAGCTCAGCGATGACTGAACCCAAAGCTAACCCTAAACATCCTGAACTGGCTAAAAAGCGGAACCCTACTCACCCTGAATCAGCCTGACCTTGAGTTGAAATCCGCAGGGGAAGGCGGTAACTGACCAAAGGGCTGACATGTACCCCATGCCAGGATATTTTGCTTACAAAAAGCCTTGAATGCTGGAGGTATATAAAGCCCGTCAGCCCGTTTTGAATGAGATAGATTTCTTCGGGCTTTTGAACCACGAAGGTTGGAACCATGGGCCCTTGGTGTGACCGATCAAAAGGGTTTTTTTGAAGGATCCGAAGTGTGGGCCCTCATTCTGCAATAGTGTCTATAAGGGCTTTAGAACCCCAAACTAGGCACCCATACGTGGAACCCTGGAGAAACGCTTTTGACGCAGCGTGCGAGGAACCCTCAGACCCCAAAAGACCAGACCTCCCTCGTCAATTTCAACTGACTTGCAAGTTCAAGGAAAACCCACGAAGCCGTTTAGTACCCTGAGCCCTAAACCCTAAACCAGGAAGTCTTAGCTTCTACACTAGGTTGCCCAGTAACCTAGGATTAAAAAGGGTGCCCTTTTTTGCTTAAAGGGGTTTATAGGGGAACCTAGAGCTCCCAAAAAGGGAATAAGGGCTCTACTGGGCATCCTAGTACATCCAGGTTTCCACGGTCTTGTGTCCCAACCTTACAGATGCCTCAATTCTCAAGGATCTTCAATGTTAAAAGGTCGCGGCTCTTTGCATCTGTTCTTGGTTCCCGGGTTCCCGAAATTAGCAAACAGCCCACGCGGCTCCTTACCTTGTAATGAAAAACGTGCTCGGGTTCCTGGGGGAGCTGCTACCCACAACCACCACCACCCCTAATGGAGCTCAAGCCTTAAACTAGCAACAAAAAAACATCCAATTTTGGGGTTTAGGGTTTAGGGTTTAGGGTTTGGCGTTTGCGAGGCCCTAATCTTGAATACACAAAACCCAAAGCTTGGTGTTGCCTTTTTGCTGGGCAGTCCTGCTGACAACAGCCATCAGAAAGGGGGACCCACTACTTCCTGGCATCCTATGAAACCCTAAGCCCTAAAACCCTGAACCCTAAACCCTGAACCCTAAACCCTGAACCCTAAACCCTAAACCCGCCAAACCCCAAACCCCAAACCCGAAACCCTACACCCGAAACCCTAAACCCTAAACCCTAAACCCTAAACCCTAAACCCTAAACCCTAAACCCTAAACCCTAAACCCTAAACCCTAAACCCTAAACCCTGCCCCGGCCTCGGCGGTCAAGACTGGCGTGAGCCGCTTCGCAAACCTCCGTGCGGCCAGGCTGCACTGAGAGCTCAATCAAGAATTTCGGGTTTAGGGTTAAGGGGTTGGGGCTAGGGGTTTAGGGTTTAGGGGTTTAGGGCTTAGGGCTTAGGGTTTAGGGTTTAGGGTTTAGGGTTTAGAGTTTAGGGTTTAGGGTTTAGGGCTTAGGGTTGAGGGTTTAGGGTTTAGGGTTTAGGGTTTAGGGTTTAGGGTTTAGGGTTTAGGGTCTAGGGTTTACGTTTGCAAGTCGTGGCGGGCTGGAGCTGTAGGGCGCTGCTCCAGCCATCGCTGTTGGATTTAGGAGGTAGACCCTAGCTAGCTTGGGAATGAAAACCCTAAACCCTAAACCCTAAACCCTAAACCCTAAACCCTAAACCCTAAACCCTAAACCCTAAACCCTAGACCCTAAACCCTAAACCCTAAACCCTAAACCCTGAACCCTGAACCCTAAACCCTAAACTAAACCCCCTAAGCGCTAAACTTCCCGACTTCCCATGATATCACGAGGCAGCCTCCTAAACATCTGCCCTAAACACTATAACACCGTAAGCCCCAAGCTCTACGAAAATGGTAGGTCCCTTCAGGTTTAGTTCGTCCCAAAGTTCAGGGGGTTAGGGGTTTAGGGCTTAGGGGTGTAGGGGTTGGGGTTCAGGGTATACGGTTTGGGTTTAGGGTTCAGGGGTTTAGGGTCCAGCGGTTCGGGTTTTCAGGTGTTGGGGCGTGTGCGTGGGAGGGCCCTCCAGGGCTGTCGGAAGGCCAGTGGGCTTGAGGTTCAGGCTCTGCAGCGGTGATGAGTTGCTTAAAAGTTAAAAGCTCCAGACCCGAGCCCCCAACACGCGCATTCGAGCCTTGAAGCCCCCTACTTGCCAAAACTCGGGCTTGGGGTGTGTAGGGGTGACGTGAAAGTGCCCTAAATCCCCTAAACCCTAAACCCTAAACCCTAAACCCTAGCACCTCCCATGCCCGAAGCCTGATGTACTTCTGCAAGAAGTCCACGGTGACAGTCTCTTTGGACTGCCCATCCTCCATCATCGGCATCTGATCCTGGAGTTCACCCTGGGGTTTAGGGTTTAGGGTTCAGGTTTTAGGGTTCAGGGTTCAGGGTTTAGGGTTCTAGGGCTTTAAGGGCGTGCTGAATGTTCCCTGTGCCCCCTAGACCCTAATAAACCCCAATAAGCCCTAATAAACCCTAATAAACCCTAACAAGCCCTAATAAACTTCAATAAACCCTAATTGACCCAAATAAAGCCTAATAAACCCTAATAAACCCCAATAAACCCCAATAAACCCTAAACCCTCAAACTTCCACCCGATCTCCAACGACCAACATCCAGGATTTTAGGGTTTCGGGTTTAGGGTTAGGGGTCTCAGAGTTTCTCAACTGAGCCCTGAACGGCGAAGTTCTAGCAAATCGACCCTCCGCAGCTCCTCGCCGCTAGCCCGGGCTGAGTAGCTTCGGGGCGAAATATCCCAAAACGACAACACCTCTTTTCTGGGTTGAGGTTTTGGGTTCAGGGTTTAGGGTTTAGGGTCTAGGGTTTAGGGGTTAAGGCTTAGTTTTAGGGCTTAGGTTTAGGGTGTAGGGTTTAAAGTTTAGGGTTTCGGTCTTTACGGCGTAGAGTTTACGAGTTCGGGGCGGGTAAGGTCTACAAACCTAGTGGCTGAAAACTGTCTAGACCATTCCAAGTCACAAGCCTACCACAAAGATCCACAAACCAGCCTCTTTGCGCACCCAAATAAATATCGCGCTCCGTGCAGAGCTAGCTCTGAAATCTCATGTTTAGGGTTTAGGGTTTAGGGTTTGGGGTTTAGGGTTTAGGGTTTAGCGTTTAGGGTTTAGGGTTTAGGGTTTAGGGTTTAGGGTTTAGGGTTTAGGGTTTAGGGTTTAGGGTTTAGGGTTTAGGGGTTAGGGTTTCGGGGTTAGGGTTTAGGGTTTAGGGTTTAGGGTTTAGGGTTTAGGGTTTAGGGTTTAGGGTTTAGGGTTTAGGGTTTAGGGAGAACCATAACGCTCCGGGAGGAAAGATCTCAGGGTGCCAGTCCCCTCGCGCCGGCAACTTGCCACTAAGGCGCTAAACCCTGGAACGCTAACTCTTTCGTCAAATACACCCTAAACCCTAAACCCTAAACCCTAAACCCTAAACCCTAAACCCTAGACCCTAAAGGCTTTCGTCAAATACACCCTAAACCCTAAACCCTAAACCCTAAACCCTAAACCCTAAACCCTAAACCCTAAACCCTAAACCCTAGACCCTAAAGGCCCTAAAGGCCCTAAAGGCCCTCAAGGCCCTCAAGGCCCTCAAGGCCCTCAAGGCCAGAAACCCTAAACCCACGCGGCGGTAGACTCGATAGTAGCCCTCGGCAAACCCTGAACCCCAAACCCCACATCCCAGATCAGCCTTTGGATGTCAGCCCTTTGAACCACCCGAAATCCTCAACCCTAAACCCCAAACCCTAAACCCTAAACCCTGCTGGGTTGGCCTTTAAACCCTCTGAAAAATTGTTGTATACAGGGCCCCTGATCTTAAACTCAAGCCCTAAACCCTAAACCCTGAACCCTAGAAAATAAGGAAAACCCCAAAAGCCAACCGAGACCCAGCCTTCAACCCTAAACCCTAAAACCTACACCCTAAACCCTAAACCCTAAACCCTGAACCCTGAACCCTAAACCCTAAACCCTAAACCCTAAACCGTAAACCCTAAACCCTGAACCCTGAACCCTAAACCCTAAACCCTGACCCTGAACCCTAAACCCTAAAGTACCTCTCCCCCCCCCCTCGCCTCGAACACCTTGGTGGCCTCCTCGGTCACCTTGGACGACACCATCCGCCGCCGCTCCATCATGCCTACAAAGGGTTCAGGGTATAGGTTCAGGGTGTAAGGTTTAGGGTTTAGGGTTTAGGGTTTAGGGTTTAGGGTTGAGGGTTGAGGGTTGAGGGTTGAGGGTTGAGGGTTGAGGGTTGAGGGTTGAGGGTTGAGGGTTGAGGGTTGAGGGTTTAGGGTTTAGGGTTTAGGGTTTAGGGTTTAGGGTCTGGGGGCTAGAGGTTTTCCGTACTGAGATTTGGGTTTAGGGCTTAGGCAAGTTCGGGGTCTGTGTAAGGCTTCGGGGGCCTAAAAACTCAACTACAGTAGGTCCTCTACTGGAGTGGATTGGTGGGGGGGGGGGGGGGGGGGGGTGGTCTGTGAAAGTTAGACTTTGTTTGGTGTTTAAGGGGGATTACCGGTTCATGAGGTTTAAGTTTAAAGGATTCGGGCCGAGAGAACTTCAGAGCTTATTCCGAACCAACACCGGTCTACGTACTCCAAAGGCTACGGATACCAACATCAGGTTCCCTCGCGGTTCAGCCAAAGTTCAACTCATGGCCTATGGTCCTGAAGGATTGAGCTTAAACACTACACCCGCAGGCAGACGAGATGCTTGAATGGATCTCCTCCACACCTCGCTTCCGCTCGACGCCCTCGTAGCGCATCATGTGCTGCCTGGTGCTATGGCTATATGTAGACCCAAACAGCCCGAGACCCCTTACGAAGAATCATACCTTCATCATTACACGCTCTCTTACCTACGGGAAGATTGGGCTCCCTGAACCCTAAACCCTGACCTAAACTACCTAAACCCGGAACCCAGCTTACTCTGCGGACCCGACTTCGTTGCGTGACAGGCTTCTAAACCTTAAACCCTAAACCCCAAACCCTGAACCCGAAACCCTAAACCCTAAACCACCAAGGAGGCTTTCATATTTCAGCTTTTGCTCTCTACTTAGGGCTTGGGAAGCAAACTCCCGGCCGACATCCTGGCTAGAATTCTCTAGGGCAAAACCCTGAAAGCCCTACTAGGCCTTTAGGGTTTAGGGTTTAGGGTTTAGGGCTTAGGGCTTAGGGTTTTTCGGGTTGGTTTGACCTCCAGCGCCCCGCCTCAGCACCTGATCGGCGATCTTGCGGTCCAACTCCTCCGTGCTGTTGTCCCGCACAATCTCGGCTCTCTCCCAGAGGGTTCAGTTGTAGCGCTATTATGGAAGTAGGAACCCAAAAGCCATACTGAATGGGGTATTGGGGTACCTAATTCCATGACAGTACTACAAATGGACCCTCTGGGTCTCAAGACTGATTGGAGGTTCATGGTAGTTAGTAACCCAATTAGAACTGTACTGAGAAACCCAATTATAACCCTATTAGGGTACTTCAGGGGCTTTTCTGTGGGTTATAGCTACACTTACAATGGGTTGCTAAGCTGCGGCAGTTTCAACCATTTGCCAGAACAAATACAATACCAATGACTTACCATGGCAAGTATGCTATTCGGAAGGAACCCAGCTCACCACAAAGACCGTGTTATCAAACGAGCCTCCAAATCAGAATCAACCCTTCAACCTAAAACCTAAACCCTAAAACCCTAAACTCTAAACCCCTAAACCCTAAACCCTAAACCCCAAAAGACTAGGCGTGGGTTGCTGGGCGCCGCAGGCCTTGGGCTTGCAAGGGCCCAAAAGAGGCGTGGCTGATGGGCTGTTTGGGCCTCACTGTGGCATGGTATTAGCCTATTGTAACATACAAGTTACCCTAAACCCTAAACCCTCAACCCTAAACCCTGGACCCTAAACCCTCTGCCCTAAACCCTCGGTCCTAAACCCCCAAACCCTAGACCTTGAACCCTAACCATTCTACCTACATAGGCGACACTCTCCGCCGTAAAGCACCTGCGTCCCGGTCCCGGGACCACTAGAGGTCCAGCCCCTGGGGTCTTTGGTGGTTGGGGCTTTGGGCTTAGGGTTTAGGGTTCAGGGTTTATTGTGGATAATATGACCTCTAGGCTCTATAGGGCTTGTGACCCCGAAATCCCTGGGGGGGGGGGGGTTCCCCCTGTTCACCTCGCAGCAAGGTATCGAGTTGGAGTTTACAACCCTAAACCCTAAACCCTAAACCCTAAACCCTAAACCCTAAACCCTAAACCAGGGCGCAAAGATGAGATCGAATCGCGAAAGGAGGGAGTCGGGGAGGCCGATGTTCTTGACCTGGGTGCGGACTCCCCTTGGCTAAGATTTGGGTCTTTCCCGGTTTAGGGTTTAGGGTTTAGGGTTTAGGGTTTAGGGTTTAGGGTTTAGGGTTTAGGGTTTAGGGTTTAGGGTTTAGGGTTTAGGGTTTAGGGTTTAGGGTTTAGGGTTTAGGGTACCTACTTTATACCCAATGTATGGGTGCTTCCCGGGTACCCTAATTTGTGGAAACCCCCATTTGACTTTAGCTTTTGGCTACCTTCCTAAGAAGCCCATCAAAGCTCAACAGGCTGAGGACCTCAGGTCGTGGAGAACCACAGAGTGGTCGAGTTTTCCCTCTGGGGGTCAAGTTTCTGGCGGACGACAGATAAGTACGTGCCGTCGTCGCGCCTCGAAGAGAGCGGTCACCCAGAAGATAGGGCTTAGGGTTTTGGGGATTAAGGCTTTGGGCATACGGAAAAGAAGACATCGTGGGCTTAGTGGCTAAGTGGCTTAAGAGCTTCAGATCATCCAGGGTTGAAGGCCAAATTGCAACGTGCCAGCGCCTGGTATAGGGGCCTCAATAATTAGAGTAGGGTTTTGGGTGTGATTGTAGTATAACTACAAAGGGACCATAAGGGAAGACTATTAGTAACTATTCCGACCCCTCAAATAACGCTTCGCCCTTAAACTCATCGACTCTAAACCCTACACCCTAAACCCTAAACCCTAAACCCCAAACCCTAAACCCCAAACCCTAAACCCCAAACCCCAAACCCTAAACCCCAAACCCTAAACCCCAAACCCTAAACCCCAAACCCTAAACCCCAAGCCCCACGCCAGGTCCAGCTTGGGGTCGAAGTTCCCATAGATGGGGTTGGCGGCGGCCAAGACGCTGCACCTGTCACTGTGGGCTTTGTGGGATTTTTTTGATTTGAGTTTAGGGAGTTCATCTGGAGTTTCGGAGTTTAGGATTCAGGGCTTAGGGCTTAGGGCTTAGGGCTTAGGGCTTAGGGCTTAGGGCTTAGGGCTTAGGGCTTAGGGCTTAGGGCTTAGGGTTTAGGGTATCTGGAGTTTCGGAGTTTAGGATTCAGGGCTTAGGGGTCTATAGGGTTTAGGGTTTAGGCTTTGTGTTGGGGCGTTGCAGAAGGCTTTGGACTTTCACCTTCAGGGCTCAGCGGCACCCGGGAAGAACAGGGGAGCAGCTGAAGGCTTCCCCCCCCTGAGCCGATCTGCCTCTTAGTAGCCCAGTACTGGCTGGTTCTTAGTAGGGAATGAGGGAATGAGGGCCCTATATAAACCCCTAGGGCCCTCATTCCGATAACCCAGAGCAAAAAAAAAGAGTACAGGGCCCAATACCCCGCAGGTACGGAATATACATTACTTCTTCACAAGGGGCCCTAAATAATCTAAAGCGTAGAACTAGGGGTTTGCAGCTTCAACAACCTATAGCCCGAAAGCCCTGAACCCCAAAAGACCCTGAATTAACCCTAAAGCCCTAGTGTAAGGACCCTCAGCACTAGAATAGGGTTGTGGGGCTTATTACAGTACAATGATAAGGGGACCAGAAGGGAATACGAATAGTAACAATAGTAATTATTCCGACCCCGAATGGTATTTATTCCGACCCCTATATTACACCCAAAACCTCTCCAGGTCTCCCTCAACCCTAAACCCTCTTCCGCCGCTGTTAATCGGCTGCCCTGAACTGCAGGTCTTACCCGCGCAAGACAGCCCTGCAACACATGGGCTATCTGTGCCCTAAGCCCTAACCCTGGTAACCCTAAATCCTAAACCCTAAACCCTAAACCTGAAACCCGAAACCCGAAACCCGAAATCCGAAACCCGAGCCTCTTGCACGGTTCTGAGGTTGGGGTTTTGGGGGGCCCAAGGGCTCCAGCCTTGCGTTGAGCGTGACGTGCATGCCAGCCTGAGGCAAAGGTTGTCGGGTATCTAGGGTCTAGGGCCTAGGGTTTAGGGTTTAGGTTTTAGGGTTTAGGGTTTAGGGTTTAGGGCTTACGGTTTACGGTTTAGGGTTTAGGGTTTATGTTTCTAGCATGGCCCTTCTGAAACCCTCTGAACATATTCCTGAATATGATCCTCTTATACCCAATAAGGGAAAGCATATAACATGACCCAAGCGCCTGCCGAGGTTTCTGGGGTATCTCGGGGTTTACGGTTGAGGGTTTCAGGGCATTACAGGGTTTGGGGAACCTGTCTAAAACCCATGAGCCCCGCGTTCAGTGGGTCCCCCGCCAAGGACACGGTTTGGGCTCAGTGCGCCAAGGCGGTGCAGACCCGTGGCATAGTCAGAGGAGTGTGTGCGGGCACCAAACACAGACGTGGGCGAGATGGTGAGGGCTTTCTGCTTTAGGGTTTAATGTTTACAGGGTTGTGGTGCTTTGGGGGTGGGGTACCCTGATTTTTGGGACATGCCCCTAAGCTAACCCTGATTGGGTGTGATTTTGGGGCTTCGGCCCAGGGGATTTAGGGCCCAAGTTAAACGCTTGGGAGGGCGTTCTGGGGCTCACGGGTTTTAGGCAGGTTCCCCAAATCCCGTAATACCCTGAACCTTCAACCGTAAACCCTGGATACCCCAAAAACCTCGGCAGGCGCTTCAGACGCTTTCTCTCTGGGCTATCTCCAAGACGTTCTGCGGGATCTTCTCCTCTAAGATGGAACGGGTGGCGTAGACATCCAGGGCGTTCATCGCTTTGTTGCCGCGAGGCATCCTGCTGGGCTGGAGTGTAGCAAACCTGCAGTAGATGAACTGGAACAGGAAGTGGATGGGCGCCATCACATCCGCCTCACAGAAGTTCTGCACCTTGCCCAGGTGACCGCCCGGTACTTTCTCAGAAGGTCACGGGGATTGACCTTTTATGTGGCTGAGATGAGATGGTCGTGTCTGCCATCGGAGCTAACATCCCAGAAGCAGAGCGTCTCCGGTGATGTCAGCACATTTTGTTTTTGAAACTTACTCGAGCAGGTTCTGCTGGGGTTTAGCGCTTAGGGCTTTAGGATTCAGGGTAGCAGTAGGACTTTGGGGCAGTAACCATCAGGATCCATAGGGGTCCGTACGGTCCATATGCTCCCTAAACCCTAAACCCTACACCCTACACCCTGCACTCCAAACCCTAAACCCTAAACCCTAAACCCTAAACCCCTAACGCCCTAAACTACAACAAGTGCGCAACCCTGCCTTGCTGATGGTCACGACCTGCCTTTGAAAGCTAGAGCTTCAAGTGTAGGGTTTGCGGTTTAGGGTTTAGGGTTTAGGGTTCAGGGTTCAGGGTTCAGGGTGCAGGCCCAGGGCTTAGGGCTCAGGGTTTAGGGTTTAGGGTTTAGGGTTTAGGGTTTAGGGTTTGGGGGTTATGGTTCGTCTGGAGCCTGGGAAGAGAAAGTGCACCTTTGTTGGGGGCTTCCATCGGACTTCAAAGTACAGCTGGGGAGTCTTGGGCCAAGCGGCTTTCAGGGTTCCGGGGTTTCGGGTTTCGGGCCTTGGGGTCTCAGGCTCAAGGCGCGGGAGCTGTTTCGGGTTTAGGATCTAGGGCTCAGGATTTCGGGCTTAGGGTTTCGGGTTTGAGATTCAGGGGGCGCGAACTTTTTCGGATCACTGGAGGACAAGACACCATTATTCAAGCGTTGCCTTCCCAGACTCTACTGAAAATGGTGGTACCCTTGTGACGGGGGGTAGTGGGTATGGGTATCCTACTAATGGGTTTGTAGTATATATACATGGTTTTCTTGCTTGTTTGTTTTGTTGGGGGAGGGGGGAGGGGGGAGGGGTGTACAGGGGGGAGATACCCAAACCCTGAACTGCTACTGGTGCAAAAACCTCAGCATAAGCTTAAGCAGACAGTCAACACAAACAGCAAGCAACAATACACAACGAGCACAGACAAACTAAGCATAAACGTCTTCATAAACATATGAGCAGTAGTAATGCCAAAAATCGTAAACAACCCATAAGCACAGACTCGAGTATAAATATATCAGAAAACAACAAAACATGACGTACCGGAGAAGAGCAGAGCAGAACTGAAATAAAACATGATGCAATACAATATGTGTGGCTGCGACATGTAGCTTAGTTTAAGAACAATCCGCGAAAAAATGAAAGTTGGTTTTGCGCTAGAAACAATGACCTACCCAAGCAACTAAACTCGTAAGAAGCAACAACCGACGACAGAACGCAGCAAAAACCCTCAGCGACCTTCACCCATATTCGTATAAAGAGACAAGAATCTATGCCAGCAGGGTTGCCTGTGGGTACGCAAGGCTTCGGGTTTGGGATTGAGAGCTTAGCGTTGAAGGGGACACTGTTCGCTGATATCTTACTAGCTTCGGGCCTGCCTCAACCCCAAACCCTCAACCACCTCAGACTGAGCGTTTTCAGCCAGTGGAGTACTTTACTTCAACGAATCTCCACCCCAATTCAGCCCCAAGCCCCAAACTTTCGGGTTTGGGGTCTCAGGGTTTTGAAGGCCTCGACTCCTAAACCCATAATTGTTTCGGGTGTAGGGTTTAGGGTTTGGGGTTTAGGGTTTAGGGTTTAGGGTTTGGGGTTTCGGGTTTGGGGTTTAGGGTTTAGGGTTCAATGCAACCACCCGCGCGGCCAAGGCGCTGCTCCATGGCCTCGTGGATTGCAACGCGGTCCGCTTGGTTCATCCTTCACTTGGGTGCGTAGTTTAGGGCTTAAACCCTAGGCCTTGTAGGGTTTCGGGTTTAGGGTTTAGGGTTTTAGGGTTTTAGGGTTTTAGGGTTTTAGGGTTTTAGGGTTTTTGGGTTTTAGGGTTTTAGGGTTTTCGGGTTTTCGGGTTTTCGGGTTTAGGATTTAGGGTTTAGGTTATAACCCTTATAACCCTGATGACCCTTGTAACCCTTTTTAGCCCTTGTAACCCTCATAACCCTTAAAACCCTTATTACCCTTATAACCCTAAACCCTCAACCGAAACCAGTAACCCCCGGCACCCCAAACCTAAAGCCCAAGGCGCTTGTCAAACTCGTCGATGCAGATCACGCCGCGATCGGCCAGTACCATGGCTCCGGCCTGTGCTTTTGGTTTGGGATTTGTGGCTGAGGACGGTGTAGGGCGTTGGGTTCAGGGTTTAGGTTTTTGGCTGAAGCTGCAGATTCAGCAAATTCAGCCTACGTTGTCTGTCCAGTCAATAGAGACACCTGTGCGCCTTCATGGTACACGGTTTTGTGAGGTCAGTAACGCTAACGCACAAGATTACGCCTCGGGCACATTTTGGGATTCCTGGCAAAACAGAGGGGGGGGGGGGGGGGCTCGGGCACATGTGGGGGGAGCCCTCCCTATGGAACCTCTGATTCGCAGCAACGGCTGCAGCTTCACAGCCTAAACCCTGAACCCTAAACCCGAAACCCTAAACCCTCAACCCTAAACTCTAAACCCCAAACCCTCAACCCTAATCCCCAAACCCCAACCCCAAGTTTGGCCAACCAACCCCAATCTGCTGGGCCTCGAGGTGGAAGTCGCTGCTGTTCGGATCTCGGATCATTGCCGCAGTCAGGCCGACACCACCTGGACGGGTTTAAGGTTGAGGGTTTGGGAGGAGGAGTTGGCGGGGGAGGGGGGAGTTTGTGGTTTCTGGTTTCTGGCTTTGTGGTTTGTGGCTTGTGGTTTGTGGCTTGTGGCTTGTGGTTTGTGTGTTGTGGTTTCTGGTTTCTGGTTTCTGGTTCCTGGTTTGTGATTTGTGGTTTCTGGTTTCTGGCTTTGTGGTTTGTGGTTTGTGGTTTGTGGCTTGTGGTTTGTTGTGGTTTCTGGTTTCTGGTTCCTGGTTTGTGATTTGTGGTTTCTGGTTTCTGGCTTTGTGGTTTGTGGTTTCTGGCTTTGTGGTTTGTGGCTTGTGGTTTGTGGTTTGCGGTTTCTGGCTTTGTGGTTTGTGGCCTGTGGTTAGTGGTTTGTGGTTTGTGGTTTGTGGTTTGTGGTTTGTTTGTTGGTTGGTTGCTTGCTTGCTTGCTTGGGTGGTTGGGTGGTTGGGTCGTTGGGTGGTTGGGTGGTGGTTGGGCGGGCGGGTGGGCCGGTGGGCGGGCGGGCGGGTGGGCGGGTGGGCGGGTGGGCGGGTGGGCGGGTGGGCGGGTGGGCGGGTGGGTGTTGTTACGTATGCGAGTCTGCGATTGGGCGCCTGAGGACGCTGAGTTGAACCCTAGAGCAAGGCTTCGTCGAACGACCTCACCCAGAAGAACAGACTTCCACATCCCTTAGAACTTCAACCCAAGACCCTACACCCTAAACCCAAAGACGCCCGACACCTCAAACAAAACAAACCCTAAACCCTGAAGCCTAGACCCCAGGACCCCCAAATCCTAGGCACGAACCTCCCCAAGCCCTAAACCCTACACCCTGACACCTAAAGCCTGAACCCTGGAACCTGGAACGCCTAAACCAGACCCGGCCAAGCGACTGGAGCCCTTCCCAGTCGTGCTCACTGCCAGGCCAGCCTTGGCGCAAGGCTTCCGAGGGCTCAGTTTTCGGGGTTCAGAGTTTATAGGGCGGACTTGGGCCCTCTAAAACATAGAACCGATTGCCTCCTGAATCCAAGGAATCTGGTAGGGAAGGGGAAAGATGAGTGGTGGCCATGCTTTCCTGTGGACTGAGGGCGTGTAAATCTTTGCTGCTCTGTCTTGAAATTTAGAGCTTACGGAACCCCAACCCTGAACCCTAGACCCCAACCCTCAACCCCAAGCTTAGGGAATCTCACGGCTTAAGGATTAGGCCTAAAACCCTAAACCCTAAACCCTAAACCCTAAACCCTCAACCCTAAACCCTAAACCCTAAACCCTAAACCGTGAGGTGATGAAGGCTCAACCCCCGCGCAGCTGCAAGTCCTCAAGCCCTGGAGTCCACTGAGGCGGCCACGGTGTTCATCACAAACCTTGGCTTTAGGGCTGGAGGTTTAGGGTTTAGGGTTTAGGGTTTCGGGTTTCGGGTTTTGGGTTTTGGGTTTAGGGTTTAGGGTTTAGGGGTTAAGGTCTTAAGGTTTAGGACCAAATTTCAGAGAAAACGACGCATAAGGGTACTTGAGAAGACAGTTTGAGATGCTTAGTGTTCAGCAGCAATGCGTGCATGAACCCGAAATCCCACACCACCCCCAACACCCAATTACCCCGCACCCTAAACCCTAAACCCGAAACCCGAAACCCTAAACCCCAAACCCTAAACCCCAAAACCTTTGGTCTGCCCCCAAGCTGCCGCAGCATCTGCGACTTGCCGCAGGATGGGTCACCAACCAGCAATACCTGCCAGGCCCAGCTCGTTTAGGGTTTGGGGTGGGTTTAGGGTTTAGGGTTTAGGGTTTAGGGTTTAGGGTTTAGGGTTTAGGGTTTAGGGTTTAGGGTTTAGGGTTTAGGGTTTATAGGGTTTAGGGTTTATAGGGTTTAGGGTTTAGGGTTTAGGGTTTGTTTAGGGTTTAGGGTTTCGGTTTCGGGTTTTTGGGTTTAGGGTTTAGGTTTAGGGTTTAGGGTTTAGGGTTTAGGGTTTAGGGTTTAGGGTTTAGGGTTTAGGGTTTAGGGTTTAGGGTTTAGGGTTTAGGGTTTAGGGTTTAGGGTGTAAGGTTTAAGGTTTAGGAGGTTTAGGGGGTTTAGGGTTCAGGTCTTCGTGTTAAGGGTTCAGGATTTCGGGCTTAAGGTTTAGGTGCCTAGCATGGCTTGGGATAAAGCCTTTGACTCAATTCACGGCTTGGATGTAGGGAGGACTGGGGTTCTGTGCCGGGCTGGAGTTGAGGGCTTCGGGTTTCATGTGGGGGCCTTAAATCATTGGAATAGGTTTTTTTTTTCTTTTTTTGGGGGGGGGGGAAATAATGGTATAATTAAAAAGGGACCATGAGGGAATATTATTAGCAATTATTCCGGCTCTAGGGCCTAGCGTTCGGGGTTTAGGCCGAGGGCACGTTGATGTCACCTCGGAGATGGGTGCCGTTGTCGAGGTTCTTCTCCTCAGCACTGGATAGGAATTCGACCAAGGCTTCAGGATCCCAAAGCAGTGTGTCAACACTGAGGGGCTTGGAGAGGGGCTACATCGGCCGACCTGCAAATGCGAGCCGGCCAGCTGCGTGCCACGGTTTTTTCTCACGGCCGGCTCGCATTTTTAGGCGGGGCCGCAATGTCGCGGCTCAGGAAATGGGAAACTGTCGTCGTTTTGGGATGTCTGCGCTCGCGCTGCGTTGTCTCTCGCTGTTTGGGGTCTACGCTACCTTAATGTGGTTGTTCAGCTGGGCTCTATGTACCTTAAGACAATACGGCCATACCTTCAGGTACCCTACTTAGGATGAGAACCCTACCCAGAAGTGGTCATAACGCTTCAAGAGTCGGTATCAAGACATGGGTGTGTTTGGGGAGTAGGTTGATCACTGGGAAAGAGGGGCTCAGGGATTCGGGTTTTTGGGCTTAGGCTTAGGGCATGGGCATACACTGACCGTGGTACCGAGCTAAGTATGCCTGTTGACCGTCCAGAAATTACGGATAGCCACGGTTCTACAGTCATCCAGCAAGAGGGGAGAGTAAACGGCAACCCGAACTAATACCCAGAACGCATGAGAAACTCATGTGCGGCAAGAGAAGCTGTGCCAGACAGCAGCTGCAACAGCAGGCCTTGCTTGACCTTCGCATGACCTCAGCATCTAAAAGAGAAAGTTGCAAGGATCGTCCCTCAACCTTAAACCCAAAATCTTAGAAACCCTACACCCTGAACCCTACTGAACGTCAACTTCGAAACCTTAGACCGCCTTAGACCCTAAACTTCTGAATCTTCAGCCCGGAAGCCTTTTGAAGGCTCAGAACGTTGAGGCAACTGTCAGGGACGGGCGTTGGGGGCTGGAGAGTAGCTTCATTTCCCCTACCCCATAAAGTCCAAGGGACACTTGTGTTTAGTAGAAGTGAAGGAGCAGGAACAGGGGGCTCTCAGCCGTGTCTGCCATACATCAAGGAACCACAGCTGAGTTCACAGGGCCCAGCTGTGGTCTGTTGGTGTTGCCCAATTCCCAGTGTTGGTTGGTTCATCACACCAAACCACATCAAAGACACCATGCAACATGCAAAAGGCACCACACCAAAGACACCACACCACGTCAAAGTCACCACACCTCAGACACAAGAAAACAGACACCAACAATGAGGCGCCAAGGGAACTGCGCCAAAATGCACCACGCCAAAGGCACGACCAAATGGCACCACCAAAGACACCACCAAGGGCACCAGCAAGAAGCCCGCTCTCACTTAGACCCTCTCTTGACCTGCTCGCTTTAGGGTTTATTAGGGTTTAGGGTTCGGCTCTTGGGTTTGGGGATTACGGGTGCCTTTCGATGGCAGCTTGCAACTCATCTTGCAACGATTTCCCCATCCAGCCATCAACTACCAGTCATCATTTTCATTCTCTTCTCCATCAATCCTTGAAAATTACTCACTTCATTTAAATCTTACAATCATATCTTTGCACGAATTCCTCCTCTCATTTTACAATTTGCAAGCACGTTACTCCCAATGCTGGTAGATGGCTGCTCTTCCTGCGTTTTCTGCTGCTGCTTTGTTCTGGCAGACATTAAGCCCCTGGCTGCTTCGAGAACTACTCTGACTATGACGACTCGTGCCAAAAACTATACCCGGAATACTCGTGTGGCTAGTATGACGCCGCACGCATGTGCAGCGCCCCTGGTAGCTTTCTAAATTACGGTTGCTTTTGGGTGCCCCATATAGCACCGCACCCTTATTAAATAAGGACCCTACAATTTAGAGAACTACCCGTATCCTTGTCTGTTCCAAGGGGTAGCAGCGCTCGAACAGCGCCCGTTGCCTCACATCAAGCTGGGGAGCCACGCCGCAGATCGCGGGGGCAAAGGACCGCCCCAGCAACTTGAAGGTGTCCTTTCCAGCGATGGGGAGCCGAAGTGGCTCAAGGCGAAAGGTACAGGGTCTTGGGCTTAAGGCTCTGCTTAAACCCTAAACCCTAAACCCTAAACCCTAGAACCCTAAACCCTAAACCCTAAACCCTTAGGGTCTGGGGTCTTAAGTAACTTGAACGGATGGGTGTTTTAGGTTGCTTATCTTGCTAAGCTGAAGTGTCCAGGCTCCAGCTGCCATTGTCTGAGGGATTCTGGCCCGTGTTCCCCGCACCCTCTAAAAAACCGGAACTTCTAAACTTCTAAACTACCCTAAACTAAACCCTAAACCCTACGCCCTGAACTCTGAACACTCCATCATCATGGGGGGGACATGCCTGCCAGCTGGGTTAGCAACATGTCTTTTGGGAATGGCAGGCTACCGAGAACTTCTGGCTTGCCAGGACATCCTTGAAAAAGGCTCAGTTTACTTAGGGTTTAGGGTTTAGGGTTTAGGGTTTAGGGTTTAGGATTTCGGGTTTAGGGTTTACCTTATTAGGGTTCACCTTACGTGAACCCCTTTGCGAGCCAAGAGGGAGGGGCATGCTCCGACCGCCTCAACAAGAAACGCATACAAGGCCTCCTTCTTCTTCTTCTTCTTCTTCTTCTTCTTCTTCTTCTTCTTCTTCTTCTTCTTCTTCTTCTTCGTCTTCTTTTCTTCTTCTACGCATACAAGTTCTAGGAAAAAAGCCAGTCTTGAGGGTTTTGGGGTTGGGGGGGGTTTCGGTTTGGCCTCACGGGCGGCAATCTTCCTGATGTTGTCCACCTCGAGAAGCAGCGGGCTTTGCCCTCTTTGAATTATTTGGAGGTTACAAGTGGGTAGCTATAAGTGGAGCTATAAGTAAGATAACTATAGTTCGACTTATCCACCGACCCCAACGGCAGCGGGGCGGCATCAGTGAAGACCCATAGTGTTCTCTGATAACAAGGGCCATCTGGCGCCGCCGAGGCCACAGCGCAACGACCCCTTGACCCTAAACTTGGTACCCCAGTAACAATATTATAATAAGGGCACCCTGTTTGGTTGGTTAATTGATAAGGGAACCTTGAACCCAAAAAAAGGGAAACGGGCCTACCAAGCAAACTGCTGGCTATGACTACAAAACAACCCGGCAGGGACCCCGACTCCTTTTACTGCTCGTCCTGCTCCAGGCATGGTGGGTTTAGAGTTTGGCGTCTGTGGGGTTTAAGGCCTACGGCTCATTTCACCCTTCAAAGTCAACATACACCCCAAGGCTACAAGACTGGGTCTCCGCACATCATCAGAAACAAACTGGTGCTCGATGATTTCTTTGACGGACTTGATGCTCGTGGCAACCTCCGCAAGCACGGTGCGGAGAGTACGCTTTCTCGGCCCTGTCAAAGGAGACCTCTGAATCCCTTCCCCCGAGTATTCATGCAAAAATGTGAGAAGCGACTGGCGCGACCCACCCGAAGAAACTTTCAAAAAACACAAAACATGTCAGAGCATGTCGCTAAGCCAAATTGAGGTCTTGTATAGGGGTCGGAGTAACTACGAATTGTATTCCCTTATGGTCCCTAGATACTTATACTATAATAACCACCCAAAACCCCATTCGAGCTAGGCTCATGGTTCAGGATCCCAAGCCAAAGGTGTCAGGGCCTGCAGTCCCCCCAAATATATAAGAATTACGCCACCATTTCCAGATTCTTTAGGGGGTGCACACCTACCCCGAAAACAAACTCTAGGCCCTAAGCCTACACCCCGAGTCACAAGAGTAACCTCGGACTAAAAAGGGTACCCTGTTGGGGTTAAAGGGGCTCACAAGGGAACCTAAACCCTAAAACAAGGGAATATGAAGTTCGCGTGGAACCTCACTCTTGCTTTGGCTACCCAAACCCCACGAGACCACCTGACAAACTCTGAAGTTCGGCCGTCTAAGGCTTCTGGGAGAAGGGCGCGAAGACACTCTTGAGCCCCACCCCAAAACCCTTAATGAGGTTGTTTTACCGAGATAGTCTTGTACTGTTGCCTTGTTATAGTATCAAATTGCAAAAAACAAAACAACGATGAAATTATATCATTCGCCCATTGTGTTGTTGTGTTTTTGTATGACTACATTGATATATGTACTAGTAGATTATTGTAGTCTCGTATTATTCTTTTCTTCTACCGGTTTTTCTATAAATCATGAATGAATGTACTACTACATGACAATGACCTTATGTTGCTGTGTTGCTGTGTTGTTGTATTTCTATATGAATATCATTACGGTTACGATTATAAGAAAATCACGATAATTGCGATAGTACTATAGTACTATGTTGCTACTATGTTTCGATATTACTATGTTGTTATATATTGCTGGGTTTACTATCTCATGGTACTATATTGCCTTTTCGTTATCTTGTTAAATCATCATAGCACTAAACTATTTTGTCAACCCTTTGGTATTTTGTTATACTACTACTACTACTACTACTACTACGACGACGACGACGACGACGACGACGACGACTACTACTACTACTACTCCTACTACTACTACTGCTACTACTACTACAACAACAACTACTACTACTACTACTACTACTACTACTACTACTACTACTACTACTACTACTACTACTACTACTACTACTACTACTACTACTACTACTACTACTACTACTACTACTACTATGATGTCATGCTATTACTGTATGATTATACGGCTTCATTAGTATACTATTGCTTTATATCATTACCTTACTTTGTTCTTATTCTGCGAAAGTGCTCTGCGATGACTACTCTATATTCCCATACTATTCTGTCACTACATCTAAACACCAAGTCGCTAAACCCAGATGCTGGGCCCGAAGCCAGTCTCGTCGGAAAAAAGCCATCGGTGAAATCCTGGCACTTGCTTCGCATCTCGAGCTATGCCTCTGGGCTTCTGCCACAGGCTCCCTATGTTGAACCTTTGTATGAACGTAGCCTTGAACGAAACCCAAAACCGTATGTTCTAGACCCTGCTAACATCCGAAACCTCACTTCTGGCCATTACGAGGGGCCGGAATGTAGAGAACTACCCGTTTGGATGGACGCCGTGTGGTCAAATTGGGTCCGCTGCATGAGACGGCATAAGGTATGCAGCCTCGTGGTATTGCGCTGCGCCAAGCAGTTTCGGCATTGTTCTCAACAGTTTCCTTCCTGTTCTGAAGCTCTCTCTCTCAAACAGATAGCCGGAAGTCACGATATTGTGCTCTATTCCGACGCATCATGGTCGATCTCTTCGGCTAGCTTGCAGCTTTGAGTCTTCACCAGCAGCTGTCCGTCAACTGTCCGTCAGCTGAGCGCCGCATGACATGATGTAGGATGTTGCACTCCGCTACGTGCTTTCGGCGCGACTTTTCCTGCTGATGGTGCCCTTCGTAGGATTCCCAAACCCCAAACCCTTCTTTCTCTGGCCCTACGAAATGTACAACCCACGGATAACAAAAGAAAATGAGCCCGAAAGCCCGAAAGCCCGAGACCTAATCAAGTCCTTCAGGGTTTTGAGGTGAAAAGAAGGTTCAGGACTCCCCCACCAACGCCGGGGTTGCAACTCTTCCGAAAACACGTCTCTTTAAATTAGAGCTCCTTGCTGGCCTCTTGCATAGGTAGTCAACTAGCAGTACAAAACAGACATCTCAACGAAGTCTGGAGGAAGGGAAGGTGGAGTTCATCAGAGGTTGTAGGCCCCGTTTGAGGCATCCCGTTCTGTATACATCCTCATCTACAAAACCCCCCCCCCCCCCACGAGCTATGTGAGCACATCGAATCCCTACACCCCCGTACTCCCACCTAATCCCAATAAACTTGCAAAACCCCCCTAAAGCCCATAAACCCCCTCAAGCCACTAAAGAGAATGCCCCTCAAAGACCCCGAAAGTCCCCTAAAGCCCTAAGCCCCCTAAGCCCAGAAGACTCGAGATGGAGGAGGAGCTGTTTAGTCGCTCTCAGTCGAGGAGCAGGGTGCAGGATCTGCACTTTTTTGGGGGGCTGCTATCCAAAAATGACAGTTTTTTGTTCCGTATTGGGTTTAAGTATTCATAAACATGCAAGATGATTTTCAACGATGACCCAGAAATGTAGGGCTCGCTGGGTGGGATAAGCTGGAACAACAAGGGCGCTCTAAAATCAAGACTCGCCTGCTCTTGAACACCGGACTCTTCAGCCTCAAATCCAAGCCCTAGACCCGGATTAAACCCTAAAAGCCATAAACCCTAAACCCCTGGACCCCTAAAGCCCCTCAAGCCCTAAACCCCTAACCCCCTCAACCCTCTAAACCCGTAGACTACAAACTCACCCTAAGCCCTAAACCCTAAACCCGAAACCCCTAACCCAAAATCCCTACAAACTCTCGGCCTGCATCGGTGGCGGAAAGCCTTTCAGCACTCCAATTACCTGAACTCGGTCACCCGGCTTGGCCTCCAGAAACAGGTTTTCGAGTTTAGGGTTTTGGGTTAAGGGGTTAAGGGGTTTAGCGTCGGTTTCAGGCTTAGGGCTTCGGGGTTGCGGGTTTAGGGTTGGTTTGAGGTTTAGGGGTTGGACGGCAGTGATGTGCACATGATGCGCAACGCATTTGCTCACCACTCCTACAATGTGAAAAACGCGATAACGATCCGATCGTGCAATTTTGATCGTTCTGAGCGACATCGTGTCTCTGCGTGTGGCGAATCGGTCATGAAGGCCACCCTTTCTGCTCATCAATCCCAAGGATTAGCTCCAAAGAGACTCAAAGTGAGAGCGGCTTGGGCCTGACATGCTGGCCGAACACTCTTAGGTGGCACTGATGCTGCTCTTACTCTAGCTGACCCGGAGGTTCAGGACCCACAAGGGGTTGAGAGGGGGTTGTGGGGGGGTTGGGGGGGTTGGGGGGGAGGGGTTGAGGGGGGTTGAGGGGGGGGGTTGAGGGTTGGGGGGGGGGGTGAGGGGGGTGGGGAGGGGTTGGGGGGTTGGGGGGGGTTGAGGGGGTTGGGGTTGAGGGGGGGTTGAGGGGGGGTTGGGGGTGAGGGGGGTTGAGGGGGGGTGGGGTGGGTTGAGGCGGGGGGGTTGAGGGGGGGGTTGGGGGGTTGAGGGGGGTTGAGGGGGGGTTGAGGGGGGGTTGAGGGGGTTGAGGGGTTGAGGGGGTTGTTGAATGGTTGAGGGGTTGAGAGGGTTGAGGGGTTGAGGGGTTCACGGGTTTCGTGTTCATCCGAAGTTTCGATGTAGTCGTCCATCAACCTCGACGTTTCCATCGCCTGAGACCCAGCCACGCTTCAAATCGGGAAACGATGTCCCAAAGCCACAACAGATGTTGATTCCCGGACTCCTTCAATAAAATAACAATATGCTGAGATAGCATTATAAACTGAACTACCATCATATTCTAGCAATTTAATACAGTGGTGTTGTAATACTGCAATATGATGATGACCGTATCCTATTGCAGTAGTACCCGTTTCATGTTATAATATGACATCAATATAGAATTCATCTTGCCAGAAGGGGTCGCCTTTTTAAGTCTAAGCCCTAGACCCAAACCCTGCCCTAGAAAAGTGAAATATACAAACCTAAAAAATATGTTAATAGAGCACAATAACAGTATATCAATATAAACAATAAGAAAGAATAAAGAAATAAGCCACTAAGCCTAGGAATAAGAATAATCAGCATAATGAAAGTAACAACACCCTGTGTTTTCTTAATAAGTATGAATAATAATAAGAACAAATTGTACAAAATCTAATTGGAAATGGTAATATTCATATCAATAATAAGAATAACCATATTAATATGCTCAAGGACTTGAAGGCTTTGGGGCCGAAACATCTGGCCTTGTCGCACAGATCGCCATCGCAAAGGACTTGGATGGACCTGCCCAGGCAGGGAGATGCCTCAGAGGACTAAAGGAGGGACCCTTATAAGGGACCTTAGGGGTTTCTCTCGGGTTATTTAGGGGCGATTTATGTATATAGGGACTATGTAAGGTATATAGAAGGGTTAAATAGGGGAAGGGTCCCTTCTTGGGGTCCCAACTTCTACCAAGAAAGGGAAAAGGGTACCACGGGAACCGCCCTTAGATCCACTCCTAGACCCGGGAGTACCCTAGGAATAACAATGGCACCCTTGTTGGTTTTAAGGGGATGATAAGGGAACCCCAACCCTAAACCCTAAACCCTAAACCCTAAACCCTAAACCCCAAAAAAAAGGAAATAAGCGCCTACTCCCGATCCCAGACTCCCACTGCCGCGCCTAGGCACCTGCCCTGGCGGCGCCGTCTCTGGAGACTCCTGGAGATCGAACTGCTGGGCATCCTCCGGAAAGTTAGGGTCTAGGGTTTTGGGTTTAGGGTTTAGGGTTTAGGGTTTAGGGTTGAGGGTTGAGGGCTGAGGGTTTAGGGTTGAGGGTTGAGGGTTGAGGGTTGAGGGTTGAGGGTTGAGGGTTGAGGGTTGAGGGTTGAGGGTTGAGGGTTGAGGGTTGAGGGTTGAGGGTTTGCTGGTTCTCAACAAGGACTTGGCAAGGAAAACAGTGGGGAGATGGGGCTGATGCCCCGAAACCCTAAACCCGAAACCCCTAACCCTAAACCCGAAACTCTAAACCCTAAACCCTAAACCCTAAACCCTGAACCCTAAACCCTGAACCCTGAACCCTAAACCCGAAACCCTATCCCTAGACCCGAGACCCTAAACCCTAAACCCTTTTGGATCTCCCGGAGCTGCACCGGGCCTATGAATACCAAGAGCCAGTGCCACTTATTTCATTTCTTTAGGCTCCATAGCACCCCCAAGCCCTAAAGGGCTTAGGGTTTAGGCGTTTAGGGTTGAGGGTTTTAGGGTTTAGGGTTTACGTGTTAGGGAAGGAGGTTCGAGGCGCACTCTGATGTCACCTGGGTTGATTAAGGGCTGCAGCTCTAAACCCTAAACCCTACGAAGCCCTAAGCCTCCAAACTGCAACTGTATTTGCCCTGTCGCTTTAAGTGACCTCAGAAAACCTTGCAGTTTCAGGGTTTCTAGAGTTACGACCAAGCTTTTCTGGTGAGGTCTGTTGCAACGTGGGTAGGAGCTGAGGATGCTAAAATGCCGTGAGCCGGTCACCATAAAACACTTAAGCCGAACGTAGATGCAAAATCCTCCTCCAGAGCTTGCACACACCCTTAAACACGCAGCCTGAGCGCTGAACCCTCAACCCTGCAACCCTGCAACCCTGCAAACCTGCAAACCCTTAACCCTTAACCCCGAGGCCCTGTAAACCCTCAGTCCTAAACCCTCAGACCCTGAACCCCCTAAAACCCCTCAACCCCAAACCCTCAAACCCTAAACCCTGTAAACCCCTGAACCCTAAACCCAAAACCCTAAACCCTAAACCAACAAAACAGGGCGTCCTTGTACTCGCTCATGCTGGGGTCCATTTTCAACTCACGCCCCTCAGGATCCTTCAGGGTTTAGGGTTCAGGGTTTAGGGTTTAGGGTTTAGGGTTTAGGGTTTAGGGTTTGGGGTTTGGGGTTTCCTGGCCATGCAGACAGCACCAGGTCCCGGTTCATTGGGCCTTAGGGGTTTAGTGCCAGGGAGCTTTGAGGGCTTAGGGCTTCAGGGTTAAGAGCTTCGAGGGTTTAGGGTTTAGGGTTAAGGTTAAGGGCTTAGAGGGTTTAGGGTTTCGGGTTAAGGTCGAGGGCTTCGGGCTTTCAGCACTTCGGGATAAAGGCTTCATCTTTGAAAACCCTGCTGCGACCTCGCTGTGTCAAATCTCTCGCAAGGAGCCCGAAACATCTACCAAGCAGGACGGGAAAGGCCCAACAAGAATAAGAAGACCGGAGCCAACAGTCCTACACCACCTGGGGTTTAGGGACCCACTGAGCCTTCAACCCCATGCATTAAGCCTTAAACCCGTCCCCACCAGCATGCCCGGGCTTGCACTGCAGAGAGCCAGAAACCCCTTAAACCAGGCAGGTGCCAGGTTTCCCGAAACCCTAAACCCTAAACCCTAAACCCTAAACCCTAAACCCTAAACCCTAAACCCTAAACCCTAAACCCTAAACCCTAAACCCTAAACCCTAACCCTAAACCCTAAACCCTGTATCAAGTCAGGAAAAAGGAACTATGAATTCAGGTTGAAGAGCCTCTGGAAACCTTTGCAGGATGAACAAGGGGGGGATTTGAGGACAACCAACCTTTTTGTTGGTTAGCGTTGCTTAAGACATCAGAGCCCAAAGCCCTAAAGCGTTAAAGCGTCAAACTCCAAAGCCTAAACTGCTGAACAGCTCAAGCCTAAACACCTAAGCAGGCAAACCCTGAACTCTAGAACTTCCAAACCAACACCTGAAGCCTGAAGCCCCTCAAGTCTAAGTTGAAGCAACTCCCCCCGGTCATGAGCACCTGGAGGTTTCCGATATTCGGGGGTACCTTCTTGTGGTCTCCTTACTTTCAGGGAATCCTACTCCTTACTATAAGGGAATCCTACTCCTTATTCTAAGGGAATCCTACTAGGGGTCTACTTCAGGGGTCCCCCATTTTCGTAAACCCCCACCTGCTTCGGAAAGCCGCCTCCGGACTTGTTCACCTGGTTGGGTTTTGGAGACTTGGGATTGCTGGGGGGGTTTAGGGTTTAGGGTTTAGGGTTTAGGGTTTAGGGTTTAGGGTTTCGGGTTTAGGGTTTCGGGTTTAGGGTTTAGGGTTTAGGGTTTAGGGTTTAGGGTTTAGGGTTTAGGGGGGGGGGGGTACCAAAGTAGGATGGCCCCAAACACCCCTCTGAAAAGTCTCTCCCAGATATGACCCCAATGAGTGAAAATAACCTTCAAACCACTCCAAGGGCTTAGGGCCTTCAAGGCATGCGGACCACAAAGCCACCCAAACTCAAATTCCCCTTTCCACAGCCCAAACCTACTTTAGCCTTCTAAGGTCTCTGAACAAATATTCCTTATTATGATCCGCTTAAGCCCAAATAGGGGAAATCTGTAAACCCTAAACGCTAAACCCTAAACCCTAAACCCTAAACCCTAAACCCTAAGCCCTAAACCCTAAACCCTAAACCCTAAACCCAGTCCCAAGGGCCTACCTAGTTCAGGCCTGAAGGGCATGCAGGATTAGGGTCCCTAAAGCGCCTGGTTTGCTAGGGTCGTTGTGTCCCGGTGGTCGCGAGACTCCACGTAGCCATCATCCTGGTCCTCCCAAACTGCAGGCTCCATGGGCAGTGGGCTTTAGAGGGCTTTTGAAGGTTTTAGGGTTTTGGGGTTTAGGGTTTAGGGTTTAGGGCTATGCAGGGTTCCTTGAAGCCCTGTTACCGGCACTATTGGGTTATGGCGTTCTGGAGTGTTTTCGGGCTGTGAGGCTGGAGGGTCAGACGGGTCTTAGCCGATAGGGAGAGCCCTTCATAGGGTTACAGGACTCAGGGCTACAGGGCTGTAAATCGGCTGGGGGTCGAGCGGCGCCCGCAAAGTCTCTGCAGATGTTCCCAGATTGTGCCGAGCCCTTTGGATTAAGGCTTATGATCGGATAAGCTATTAGAGCCTAGGCTAGAGGAGCCAATGGTGCCAAGTTAGAGCCCAGAATGTGTCCAGGGCAGGTAGAAAGCACAATGGCATAATGGGCTCCGGCGCATGAAACGAACCTCAAACGACCGAGAAACCTAACATTCAGGCAGTGGGGTCGTGCTTTAGGGGGGGGGGCTTGAGCGCAAAAGCACGTGCTTTGCGAGGGGGGTTGAGCACAGGGTTGGGGGAGGGGTGCGGGTGGGGGTTGGGGGGGTTAGGGGGCTGGGGGGTTAGGGGGGGGGGGGTTTGGGGCGGGGGGGGGGGGGGTTTGGGGGGGGGGTTTGGGGGGGGGGGGGGGGTTGGGGGGGGGGGGTTTGGGGGGGGGGGGGGGGGTTTTGGGGGGGAGGGGGGTTGGGGGCCGAAGTTGGGGGGGAGGGGGGGGGGGGGGGTTGGGGGGGGGTTGGGGGGGGGGGGTTGGGGGGGGGGTTGCCTTTTTCGCACAAGAGAATTCCGTGTTCCCAAAGGCAGAGTCAAGGGTGCCAAGGGTGCCAGCAAGCGTCCCGTAACGTCTTGCTGGCACCCTTGACTCTCATTCTGTGAACACCAGATTCTCTTTAAACACAAATAAAAATCTTGGCTTTGCAGGAAGGGAGTCAAGGGTGGCTGACGCCCAGACCCCCCCCACCCCAACCCCCCCAACCCCCCCCTCTCCACCCCCACCCCACCCACCCCCCAACCAAGCCACACCACCAACCAACCTCAGACCAACAGTTTTCGCGTAAAATAATCATTGAATTTTTAATTCTATGGCATGACGGCTGCCAGGGCTGTCAAGCTGTTAGTTTTTGAGGCTTTATGGATTTGAGTCATGTCGTTTTTGCAAGGGTTGAGGTTTCTGGTTGGAAGGGAGGTTGTGTGCAAGCATCTTTGCTTTCGAGTCTAAGTGGCAGCTCCATCGCAACGACTTTCAACCTCCCAACAACGGCCAACATTGCCTTCAATTTCGCAACCTCCCAACAACAACAGACTATTAGGCACTAATAGAGACTAATAGAGCCTAATAGGGCCTAATAGTCCTTATATGTCACCCTTGACCCCTGGTAAGCAGGCTCTCTTGGCATATGGGATATGATTCAGCACGTCCCCACCCCTATCCGGACCCCCCACCCCCGACCCCCCACCCCCAACCCGCCACCCCCCGCCTTCCCAATTTCCCGACCCTTCAGAAAGGATACGGGGATGAACAGAAACTCTGAACCCAGCCTTGTGCACGTGCCGGGAATGCCTGGATGCGATAGACCAATTGGTGGACAGCATGGGGGCGTAGGGGCATCCACAATTGGGGCTTTTGGGGGGGTCTCTATCCTGGGATATTCCTCATAGACGTGTAGCTCAAGGTAGCAACAAGGCAATAATCGCTTCCGTTGCTGTTGAAACACAACAGATGCGCGACGACGGCCGGTGCTTTCTACATTGGATTGTGGTGATCTTAAAGCTCTTGGAGTGTTCTGGGGGCAAACTTTGACTATTTGGCACGGTCCTGTGCAACTCAGGAGGCCTACACCTGCCATGACATTCACACGCGTACCGACAAGTCGCTGCAGGGACGGGCACCCTCCATTTTAGCCTTAGTCAAAGGATCCTCTAGCTTTTAGCAGGAGGTCCAGCTGCATGATCTTGGGGGCTGGGTGCCCTAGCCCAAAAAAGGTTAACTTTTTGAATTATAGTAGGATTATATAAACCCCACAAGGTTAAAGGTTCCCTACTCAGCTACTAAGTGATCCTCTGGCCAAGGAAAACATCTTTGAGAGATTCAGGCAGCACCATGATCTGGCCCAGATGCATGAGCTTCGGCTGCGCAACCATGCAGCGCGTGACGATGCCTTCAACGCCTCGGACACGAGGGGGGGGGTCGCTTGGGGCCCAAACCCAGAAGCGAGTTCGAGTCGCAGGGCTGTGGATGAGTTAGTCTTTTCCATACCTCTGCAAGCACACCTGCAAGCACACCTTGAGCGCTGCACTAGTAGTGGAACAGTTTTGTCCGGCGCCGCATGTATTCCTGAGTTGCAGGTTTGGACCCGGTCGCGGCACCATTGCTCGAAGAGCCTTCGGTGACCCAGCTTCCTCACGCCGACATCAACAAAAAAGCTGTCAAGAAGTCGTCCACTCCTGATGTACCTGTCCGCAACCTTAGCTGGGGTTTCATACTGCCGCAGGCAGGGATGATACTCCATCATGAAGCCAGCGGAGTCCATACCTTAGTTGCTGAGTTCATGAAGCCCCCCAAAAATGTGTACACTTTTAGTTTTGTAGAGATTTATAGTATCCCAAAAAGTGCGAAGTGTGCTCACTCAGCTACTAAGATACTCAAGAGCCACTGGCACAGAGGCTCGGCCTCTAGCACTGGCAAGGCTCTCGGTGTAGGTCCCTCTTCCTCAGCACCCTGAGTCACGCGGCACAGGCGCTTGATGCGAAGGGCAGACCTCTTCACCTGTACGTTGTGAGGATGTAAACGAGTAGCTTCATCTGCAATATGATCAAGCCCATCTGCTGCCACAACACCTTTCAGCGCAAGCTTCTCGAGGGCAAGGAGCGCATTCACCTGCACGAAGGAGTTGCGCCCGTGGCCCCTCATGGCCGTGAGAACTCTTTGCACCCCGTCGGCCTCCACAATCCTCTCTGCGCCTGAGGAGCGTCGCTCTGCCAGCCTCCACACAGCCACGCACGCGTTGTCCTGTAGTGTGCCGTCTGCTCTGTACAGATCCATGAGATTCATCAGGACCTTGACGAAGCCGGCTGCCACGATCAACTCAGTGTTGTTGTCATTCCTCTGGCAGCAGCCTGCAACGACACCGAGACCAAGTCTGGCGACCTCCAGGTTGGTTGGCCCAAAACGCCGCAGTGCTTGCAAGACCTGTACCTCAAGGGTCGGATCCATGAGCTTGTGCACGTGATGGCAATCCCTGCGTAGCCACTCGCGAAGCTTGTCAAAAACTTCTGCAACAAGCCAGGGGTCCTCTGGATCTTCCAGAAGCTTCGCACACCGTGCCATAGCCTCGGGTGTCGCATCACGCAGGTCCAGCCACTGGTGGTGCAGCATGGGCAACATGCGCCCATCGATCTTCACCACTCGAAGCTTCTTTTCAGGTCTTTAGGCCGTTGGAATGGTTCAAGGATCGACGAAAACTCAGTTGCAAACAAAATAAGACAGCTCACAAACCACAGGTAGCCAACCCTGACTCCTCACCCTAAACCCCTCAAACCAAGAGCCTCATGCGTGCAAGACAAGATGTTCAGCACGCTCAACAATCCTGGCCCGGATGCGGAGAACTTGGGGTTTTGGCGCTAGTATAGGGCCTCAATACTGAGATCCGAGATTGCAAACTCTCTCTTCTCTCCACCGCAACTTCTAACCTCTAAGGAGGGGGCCGGGGGGGGGGGCAGGGGGGGCAGGGGAGGCCTTGTCAGACGCTATGCTGCGACCCCCTAACCCGAGTCCCTCTATAGCAAGTAAGGCCCAAGGCGTGATACAACTCCTAACAAAAGGGTGTAATATAGGGCCTGAATAATTAGAATAGGGTTTTGCGGGGGTTGTGATAGTACAACTACAAAGGACCATAAGGGAATAGTGTTAGCAATTACTCCGACCCCTATATCATGTGAGGTCGGCAATCGCAGCAAGCGCAGGGCCGAGGGAACACAATACAAACTGAAAGCATCTAAACCCCTAAACCCTAAACCCTAACCCCTAAACCCTGAACCCTAAACCCTAAACCCTGGCCCTGAACTCATAGCAGCCAACGAGTTCGCCCCACAGGTACGGCCTGGAGGAAGTCTCTTTTGCATTTTGCCGGGTCAGAACATCCAGCAACTGGAGTGGACAGATTCGCTGCTACTTCTTTATGTGCATGCACATTTAAAACGTAGCAGCACAGCTGGGAAACACAGCCCGACAACAACCCGCAAGCCAGCAGTCTTGAGTCCTAACCCCCCCCCCCCCCCCGAAACCCCGAATCTTACTGTTGCTTAGGGAATGAGGGAATGAGGTACCCTGTACCATCCCTTCAAGGGTATATATAGGCCCGTAGATTCGCCAAAGGGCTGTCCAGGGGGCTGGGGCCATAGGGCTTAGGGTTCAGGGCTCAGGGTTCAGGTTTAGGGTTTGGGGTTTAGGGTCCAGGGTCAGTGGCGCTCTCGCCAGTTGGGGGCTGAGTGTAGGGCTTGGGTTGAGGGGCCTTTTCTCACACCATTTGACCCACCAAGACGGTCGCGTATGCTTCCCGGCCGAAATGTTGAGATTCAGTAGGCAGATGCCGATTCTCGGCGTTCCTTTGCCGGAAGGTTGAATTCAACGGGCGGCCCCTCAGATGCTGGGCGCCAGTACCCCTGAACCTCTATGATCCCCTGGCTTGCCGAAAGCCCAAAACCCTTCAGAACCCAAACAGCCTGCCTTTTTTTGGTAGGCTCTTATTCTATAGCCCCTTCTATGGGATTCTAAACCTTCCTCAACCCCTGTTACCTGACCACGGAACCTACATGGTTCTTAACGTCGCTGGGCCATCCCTAATATCTGCCTAAGAACCCTCCCCAAAAAAAGTAAGCAAGAATGATTTTTTACCCTTATAAGGAAGAACATTCTTATCTTTGCAAAGGGGGTTCATCCCTATCTCACCCTTATAAGCACGCAGATTCTCTTATTTTGCCAAGGGGGGTTCTTCAGCAATGCGTCGGTCCTATGATAGAAAATTGGAGGGCTCGGATGGCTCTTCCTCTGGGGGCATGTCCGAGGCCAAGGACGAAGGTGGGCCATCTGACATGGCCTGAGTCAGGTAGTTAGAGCCATAGTTTAGGGGGTTTAGGGGGTTTAGGGGGTTTAGGGGGTTTAGGGGGTTTAGGGGGTTTAGGGGGTTTAGGGGGTTTAGGGGGTTTAGGGGGGTTAGGGGGTTTAGGGGTTTAGGGGGTTAGGGGGTTTAGGGGGTTTTTAGGGGGTGTAGGGGGTTGGTTTAGGGGGTTAGGGGGTAGGGGTTTAGGGGGTTTAGGGGGTTTAGGGGGTTTAGGGGGTTTAGGGGGTTTAGGGGGTTTAGGGGGTTTAGGGGGTTTAGGGGGTTTAGAGGGTTTATAGGGTTTAGGGCTCAGGGTTTGTAACTTGGGGTTTCGGGTTCGGGCTCGTGGGTTGGGGCTGGGGGTTTCAGAGGCCTCGGGCATCAGGGCTGAAATTGGGAAGTCGGCGCAGGCTTTGCAGGGATAAGATGCCGGAGGATTTCAGGCTTTGGGGTGTGCACCTTTTGAAGGTTTAATCCTAAACCCTAAAGCCTAAACCCCTGTTGGCCTCATCCGCTCGTGAGCTCGGAGGATCGGTGTCTGATGGCGCTGGAGCCTGGATAGGCGAGATAAGACCCCCCAGTCCAGTCGCTGGCATTTCGGAAAATCGATTCCCACAACTTCTGTTCGGTCTACTTAATACATGAGATATCTTGTCGAAAGTACAAGTCATCCACTACGTTAACTCAATGAATATAACTGGCCAGAATGAAACAATGAAACAAGCCCCTGGTAACGGAAACTTAACTGTTAACACATCAGTTTCCCTGTAGCTGTCCTCCATTCTCTTCAAAAAATCGCGGTTCTTCGAGAGTATAAGTTGGCAACGAGCCCTGCAACACAAAGTCGGGTCAGCTTGCCGAGGCCTTAGTTTCCAATTTTGACCGGATGCTTGCCGCAGCGAATTCAAGTGGCATGCAAGAGTAGGATGTCAGCACGGGACTTTTTTGGAGTGTTGGGGATTTTTGGGAGGGCCTTTTGGGGGGCCTCCCGGGGCGTTTTTGGGGGGCTCGCGGGGCGGGGGCTTTTTTGGGGGGCCTCCCGGGGCTGCCGGGACCCTTTGGGAGCCTCCGAAAGCCTTTTTTGGGGGCGGGCCGTTTTGTTTTGGAGCCTCCCGGCACCTTTTTTGGGGCTTCCCTGTCTCCCGGGCCTTTTAGGGGTTTAAGTAAATTGAGCATTTGGTCTCCCAGACGCTTTGGAATAATTTACTTAAGCTCTGTTGGTCAGCTGTTTAGACAAATATCTGCGAAATTCAGAATGAGACCACATACAATTTCTATTTATTTTGTCTTGAGGGTTTAGGGTTTAGGGTTTAGGGTTTAGGGTTTAGGGTTTAGGGTTTAGGTTTAGGGTTTAGGGTTTAGGGTTTAGGGTTTAGGGTTTAGGGTTTAGGGTTTAGGGTTTAGGGTTTAGGGTTTAGGGTTTAGGGTTTAGGGTTCAGGGGTCAGGGGTCAGGGGTCAGGGTTCAGGGTTCAGGGTTTAGGGTTTTTAAGGGCCAGGAAACCAATAGAAACCCAGGGTGTTAGGGTTTAGGGTTCAGGGTTCAGGGTTTAGGGTTTAAGGTTTAAGGGCCAGGAAACAAATAGAAACCCAGGGTTTATAGGTATTGGTTCACCAATAAAAACCCAGAAAAGCAAGGTTTTGGGGGATTAGGGTTTAGGGTTGAGGGTTGAGGGTTGAGGGTTTAGGGTTTGAAGCCTGCCCAGGTGGAAGACAAGCCGTTTAGGTTTATGGGCTTAGGGTTTAGGGTTTAGGGTCTAGAGGGTCACTGTTCTAGCATTCATTCCAGGCTTAGGAAAAAAACCACCCGCCCAAAGAATCCCATAACATTAAGAAAATAGAAGGCTTCATCTTCCACCAGAGAATTTTACCTACCCATGTTTTCCACTGAACCTTCTGGGGCGCTGAGAGAGTTTTACCTACCCAATTCGTGGGAATTTTGACCCGAAATAACCCCAATGTTCGTGACTTTTCGGGCCAGGCCGAAAAGTCACCAGCATTGCGGGACTCCAATGTTCGTGACCTTTCGGCCAGGGGGACCCCAATGTTCGTGACTTTTCGGCCTGGCCGAAAAGTCACCAACATTGGGGTCAGATTGGCCGAAAAGTCACGAACATTGGGGTCAGATTGGCCGAAAAGTCACGAACATTGGGGTCAGATTGGCCGAAACATCACGAACATTGGGGTCAGATTGGCCGAAACATCACGAACATTGGGGTCAGATTGGCCGAAAAGTCACGAACATTGGGGGGCAGCTTGGCCGAAAAGTCCCGAAGGTTTAAATATATATGTGATGGAGAGGGTCTAGGGTTCAGGGTTTAGGGTTTAGGGTTTAGGTTCAGGGATTAGGGTTTAGGGTTTTCTAGGCCGTAGCATTTAACCTCTTCTGACCTATTTGATAACCCCTTATAACCGGTTATTGAACCCCTTATAACCTATTACATAACCCCTTATAACCTACAAAGAAGTAGGCTTTGGTTTCCAAAATTGAACCCAAGTCAACCCCAAGAGCTAGGAGGTGATTTAGGGTTTTAGGGTTTTAGGGCTTAGGGTTTAGGTTTAGGGTTCAGGGTTTAGGGTTTTAAATTTAGGGTTTTAGGGTTTAGGGTTTTAGGGTTTTAGGGTTTTAGGGTTTTAGGGTTTTAGGGTTTAGGGTTTTAGGGTTTTAGGGTTTTAGGGTTTTAGGGTTTTAGGGTTTTCGGGTTTTTGGGTCTGAGGGTTTTAGGGCTTTAGGGTTTTAGGGTTTTAGGGTTTTAGGATGTGATGTAGGATTTAGGGTTTGGGCTCCCACACAACTTTTCTGCACTTTGGTACGCCGCAAAGAAAAAAATCTGTTCAAACAGAGACTGAACAAGGGGAGGGAGTTTAGGGCGTGGGGTGCCCTGTTTTGGGCACACTAAACTGGCTGGTTCTTCGTAGGGAGTGGGTATGAGGTACCCTATATAATCCCTGAAAGGGTATATATAGGACGCTCATTCCCTCATTCCCTAGTAAGAACCCCTAAGCCTAAACCCTAAACCCTAAACCCTGAGTCTAGACCCTAAACCCGAAACGCTAAACCCTAAACCCCTTGGCTCTTCTGGAGTGCTTCAACCTAAACCGTAAAACCCCAAGGGACCTCTGTGGATCCGCACACGTCGCACCAATACTTGCCATCCATATCCTGGAGGCTTCAGGGGTTTGGGGTTTAGGGTTTAGGGTTTAGGATTTAGGGTTTAGGGTTTAGGGTCTAGGGTTTAGGGTTTAGGGTTTTGAAATTTCTGGATGTTACGATCGAAGGAGCTGCATAATCTCAAAAACCGATCGCCACACTGATCTTGGCTTGGAATACATCAAACCGCATAAGCGATTCAGAGCACAAACCGACATGTGTTCAATCTGCTTGCAGGCGGTACAAGCCATGACGGTTGTGTTCAGTGTCCGTCGTGGGGAAACACTTGCTTTGCGATGATCGGATCTTCTCACATGCTGACACGCCTTGCATGTGGAAACAAAAAGCTACACACCGATACACGATGTGTGCAGAAAACATCTTATGCCATATAGTCTGCGCACGGTCGTCGTGCTTTCTTGTATCTGAAGTGCTCTCGCACGAGGTCTCTCCAAACAATCCGATCTAGCCTTGACTTAGCCAAGCAAAAACCTGATGGGCACGGCCAGCAGAAGTTTTGCCCAGATCCTAAACCCTAAACCCTAAACCCTAAACCCTAAACCCTAAACCCTAAACCCTAAACCCTAAACCCTGAACCCTGAACCCTGAACATGATGTGAGTATAGAGGACTCCGTCCAGGCTCTGTGCATCTAGAATCTATAGTGTTCAGGTGCCAAGCGTCTGCAAGCTTGTGTGCACTTGCGCAGTGCGGCGTGTTACAAGGAAGACGGAGCTGGGAAGTATCTAAGGGTTAACGTTTGGGGTCTAGGGTTTCGAAAAGGGAGCAAACCCCAACTAAGAAGTACAGCAAGTTGGCGCACAAAACTGAAAGACTGCCATGTTCACGACGACAGTTGAATACGAGCGATCAATGGCTCCATGATCGACACGAACAAACATGAAGGAACGTGACAACCGCGTGTGGTGCTTGCGTCAGGATTGGAAGACGTTCGGCTGTCCACCTTGAGGTTCCCCACCAGAGATGCAAAAGGCTTCGAAGCTAAGTAGGAAACCCGAAATCCGGAATCTGACCCGAAGGCGCGCCTGATCGTCCTCTTCGAAGGAATGCAAGGCATGACACACTGCCTTAGCTGTTCTGTGCTCTTCTTCCCGATCCTCCAGGCAGGAGTCTGGGAGCTTACAAGACAACCTAGTACAAACACTGACTCACTGTGGTTGGGATAGCATTATACATTTAAACATATTTTCCTTATTGAGTCTAAGTACCCCTAAATATGTAAAATGCTACCCTACAATGACAAGTTAAGTTTCTCATCCCAGTGGGTAAAGGGTTGAGGGCTTAGGGGTCTACAGGGCTAATCCCCTAAACCCTCAACCCTCAACCCTCAACCCTCAACCCTAAACCCTAAACCCTAAAGCCTAAACCCTAAACCCTAAACCCTAAACCCCAAACCCTAATGGAACGAGACTGGAAAAAAGAATTGGGCGGGCTGCAGGTTGAAGCCCCCAAGGCCCTACTTGGAGGTTCATGGTACTTCGTCACCAATTATAACGGTACTTAAAACTGTACTTGTAACCATACTAGGGCACTTAAGGGGCTTATAAGTGGGTTAGAAGTACAGTGATAATTGGTTAATAAGTACCATGAACCTCCAAGTATAAACCCTAAACATAAGAGCCTCGTAGTTGCTTGTCTCGAGCTTGGCTCTTAGGCGTGGTCACTCGAGCTTGGGGGCTGGAAAGGAGATTGGGCTGGTGGCTAGGTGTCTGTAGGGCTTTGGGTTTAGGGTTTATGGTTTAGGGTTTAGGGTTTAGGGTTTAGGGTTTAGGGTTTAGGGTTTAGGGTTTAGGGTTTAGGGTTTAGGGTTAGGGTTGGGTTTAGGGTTTAGGGTTTAGGGTTTAGGGTTTAGGGTTTAGGGTTTAGGGTTTAGGGTTTAGGGTTTAGGGTTTAGGGTTTAGGGTTTAGGGTTTAGGGTTTGGGGCTGTGGGCGATGGCTAAGGTGGAGTTGCCCCATCACATTCAGGCTTAACTTAACCCTCTTTCAAACCCAAACGCGACACCCTAAATGCTAAGCCCCCAATGTGCGCGCCAAAAGTTGAGCCAGGCGGCACACTGCCAATCCGAATTAAACGCGAGCTCTCTGCACTCAGACGCCATCATCGACCTAGGGTTTGTGGGTTGAAAGGTCTGGATTAAGATTTGGGATCCCTAAACCCTAAACCCTAAACCCTAAACCCTAAATCCAACTTGTCAAGAGGATCTTCAGGTCAGCCGCCGAAGGTTACGCCCGATACCCTTAAATCCCATAAAGCCAACATAAAGAGGCACTCTAGGGTTTAGGGTTTAGGGTTTAGGGTTTAGGGTGTAGGGTTTAGGGTTTAGGGTTTAGGGTTTAGGGTTTAGGGTTTAGGGTTTAGGGTTTAGGGTTTAGGGTTTAGGGTTTAGGGTTTAGGGTTTAGGGTTTAGGGTTTAGGGTTTAGGGTTTAGGGTTTAGGGTTTAGGGTTTAGGGTTTAGGGTTTAGGGTTTTTTAGGGTTTAGGTTTAGGGGTTAGGGTTTTTAGGTTTAGGGTTAGGGTTAGGGTTTAGGGTTTAGGGTTTAGGGTTTAGGGTTTAGGGTTTAGGGTTAGGTTTAGGGTTTAGGGTTTAGGGTTTAGGGTTTAGGGTTTAGGGTTTAGGGTTTAGGGTTTAGGGTTTAGGGTTTAGGGTTTAGGGTTTAGGGTTTAGGGTTTAGGGTTTAGGGTTTAGGGTTTAGGGTTTAGGGTTTAGGGTTTAGGGTTTAGGGTTTAGGGTTTAGGGTTTAGGGTTTAGGGTTTAGGGTTTAGGGTTTAGAACGAGCCCTGAAGCCTTGTGGCATAAAACCCCCAAATGGCGGGATTATCGTACCCCCCCCTATTCTTATCTCTATTAAGGACTGTTAGTACAAGGTGGAAGTTTAGGGTTTGGAGCATTCAAAGCCCCAATCCCTGAGGGCTGACTTCCCACAAAGGAAGCAGCGTCTGAACCCACCAGCCGCGGACTCTGTGCGACGGTTACCAGCTGCCGAAGCCCTGAACTCAAAACCTTGACTACTACCCCCCCCCCCTCCCTAAAAAAACTTAAAAAATGAATCAATAAGAAGAAGCAGAAGAAGATTCATTATCTGATCTGTTTCGTTTTGTTGGGGGAGGGGTGCTTAAGCAATTAGCAGCTGAACCTTCGGATGTTCCCCTCTTATACTACCAGTCCTTTATAGGGATTGCAACAGGCGGGGGGGGGGGGGGTACGATAATCCCTATTAAGGACTGCTAGTAAAAGGGGGACACATCCCAAGATTAGCAGTTGACCCCTAAAACCCGAAACAGGGCCCTTGACTCCATCGGCTAGAAACCTTAAGCTAAGCCCTAAGCCGATTTGAGCCTGAGACAACCCCCAGCCCCAAAAAGCATCACCAAAAACCAAGTACATAATAAACAATATACATATGTAGAAAAAATGTACATATACATATGTGTAATGAGATTGAGGGTTTAGGGTTTTGGAGTTTAGGGCTTAGGGTTTAGCGCTCAAGACCCCAACCCGAGGATTTAGGGTCGAGGGATACACATCAGGTTGTCCACAAACGATCAAGAAAGCCTGCTCCAACCCTAAGGTAAAGGGACTGTAACAGGAACCCCTAAACAGGGAACCCCCAGAATCGAGCAGGAACATAATGGGAACATACCTATCAGGGTCCTGATATTCCCTCTGTATCCCTACTGTGGTCTTGGGGGTTCCCTCTTTAGGGTTTTCCCATGAGGATCCTTTCCGAAGAGCTTAAGCGACTTGAAGATGTACGCCATGATCACGTGGTAGGCACCTGGGATGCGGCCGAGGGTTGTATGAAGGTCTCACTGCAACCGTGCTCATCCCAAAAACCCGAAAGCCCCTAAAGTCCCTAAACCCTAAACCCTAAACCCTAAGCCCTAGACCCTAAACCCCAAACCCTAAACCCTAAACCCCGAACCCAGAATCTGCCAAAGGTCATCCGAATTGTGATCTTGGGCATGGAGTTTCGGGGAAAAACAAGTCTGCCAGCTACGGGCTTCTCCACTCAACAAAGGGCGCTTTCGGCAGCTGGGGTTTCGGGTTTAAGGTTTAGGAATTCGGGTTTAGGGTTTAGGGTTTAGGGTTTAGGGTTTAGGGTTTAGGGTTTAGGGACTTTAGGGACTTTAGGGACTTTAGGGACTTTAGGGACTTTAGGGACTTTAGGGGCTTTCGGGTTTAGGGTTTAGGGTGCAAACTGAGGCTACAGAAATAGCGAAGCCACAGCAGCCGACGCCTCGCACGTTCCTCGGCGGGTTTAGGGTTTGTTTAGGGTTTAGGGTTTCGGGTTTAGGGTTTAGGGTGTAGGGTTTAGGGTTTAGGGTTTAGGGTCTAAGGTCTAGGGTCTAGGGCTTAGGGTGGCGAACCGAAAAACCGTTCATACCTTTAATGCCCGACTTTGAGCCCTAGAATCCCTAGAGAGCTAGAACCCTGAAAATCTATGAACTGCTAGACCCTAGTGCCCTAAACCCTAAACCCCAAACACTAAACCCTAAACCCTAAACCCTAAATTGAAAATCCGGAAGGGCCCTGGTATCCTTGGCGCCCTGGCATCCATCCATCCCCCCCCCCCCCCCCCGCAACCTTTTCACGACCTACTTTGATTCAAGGGTAGAACTCCCCAGCCGCCCCCCCCCCCCACCCGCAACCTTTTGGTCAAGGCTAGAAGGCCCTCGCCTTTGGAAGCCTCCATGAGCCTTCCAAACCATACTCATGTCGGGACCCATGAGGGAATACGATTAGTAAGCACGTACTCCGACCTCTACATTACAGAATCCATGAGAGGGGGGCTCTCCGGCCCAGAACTGTCAACTTCAAGGCTTCAAGGACTCTTTCCAAGGCCTTGGCAGTTATTCTCAGGGCGCTTCGACAAGCGACTAGAGTCTCGGCCGTCTTTCGTTCAAGAATTACCCCACGGCCCTACCCCGACCCAAAACCAGCCCATTACGTCAAGGCTTATCTGTTCGGGCTGGCTTGGGGCAGGACTTCGGATCCGGAGTAGCGGCTGGAGGGCTCAAGAACCCCAACCCTAACTCCTAACTCCTAACCCCTAACCCTAAACCCTAAACCCCAAACCATAAACCCTAAACCCTAACCTTAAGGGCTTCGGGACTCTGAACCTTCCGTAGCCCAGGGCTCATCCTCTTGGCAGCCTCGAGCATCAACAGCTGGCAGGTGCTGGCCAGGATCAGCCTTGTGAGCAGTCGTGTATGGGTTTCTGGCACTTGGGCAGGGAGAGGGGTTCAGGAGCGTTGAAGTTTCGACCGTTTGGATGTTTTGTTTTTTTTAAAGGCCTGTTTTGTCAAACTTCTAGGGCTCAGAATGCAGGCTGCCTCCTGCAAGACTTGCACTGCACCGCTGCATGATGCGACGGCTACTTCAAGATCATGTCCACTGCAAGGTCGGTGGGAAGACCGGGAAATCTGGGGAAGGCTTCAGAACCCCGAATGTCCTTGCGAAGCTTTGGAAGATTTGGAGCCCCACCAAACAACTTCAAGAGGTCGCCAGTGCTCCAGGACCCTGTGTAATAAGTCCTGTCGGTGGGGGGTCCTAGAATACAGATTATGGCGGTTTGGGGTACATGAGGGGCTTCACAACAGTTCGGGGCCTCCTGGGGCGAGGGGAGGTCTTCGCGAGAGCACACATCTCGAGAGCAAGGGGGCTAAGCATCCAAAAGCACAACACTCCGACAACAAGGACATGCTATCGCAAACCCTTGCAAACTAAACCCTAAACAACAAGCCCTAAACCCTAAACCCCCTAAAGAACAATCTTGCGAATGGGTGTGGCTCTGTGCTCTGGGACCTTCTGCTTCGGGCATGCAAGGAGCATCCTCCCACCCTAGTTTAGGCTTTAGGGTTTAGGGTTTAGTTTTTAGGGATGTAGGGTTTGGGGGTTTAGGGGCTTGGGATTTCGGGAAAGACCCTCCGTACGAATCGCCATGAACACCCCGAGCCCGTCACAGCCAAAATCCTCCCCAAAACGAGTGGGCACTCACTAGGTTTTTTGGGTTTAGAGTTTAGGGTCTAGGGTTTGAGGTTTAGGGTTTAGGGTGCAGGGTTAGGCCACACACACACAACTTCCGGCAGGTAAGGGGCTTCCTTTTCTTCACCACCTCTCCTGCAAACAGGTCTGGGGGTTCGGGTTGAACCGACAGCTCTAAACCCAACCCCTCGACCTCTAAGCCCCCCAGGTTTCGGGTTTAGGGCTAGGGTTTAGGGTTTAGGGTTTAGGGTTTAGGGTTTAGGGTTTAGGGTTTAGGGTTTAGGGTTTAGGGTTCAGGGTTCAGGGTTTAGGGTTTAGGGTTTAGGGTTTAGGGGTTTAGGGTTCCAGAGGGAACGGGTTTAGCGTTTAGGGTTTGCGTAGGGTAACCCTCAGTCCCAGACTCTGCACCGAAGCACCAGACTCCAAGGCTTAAAGCCTTAGACACTAACTTCCGGGCTGGAAGGAGGAATTCCAAATCCTACTTGTCACCCCTCCAGCAATTAGAACCATAGGTCTGAACACTTGCAAGGCTCATAGCTTTTGACCGGGTCCAAGAGGCATATTTCGCAAAATAGCCCGCCCCGCCCCCCCCCCCCTCCTCAAATCCAACCCAGAACGTTAAAATTGCTATGAAAAGAATCCGCCAAGAAGGAGCCCTTAGTTTTTGGAAGCCACCACCTCTACCTCAATTGGGGTCTAGCTACAGTTACCGTGCTTATATCCCTGCATTTGTAGTCAGCAGTGCCCACACGAAATCACTCCCCCCAGGGGTTGCCCCAGCATCCTGGCCCTCAAAGAACCCTAAACCCTAAACCCGAAACCCGAAACCCCTAAACCCTAAACCCCAAACCCTAAACCCAAAAGCCGTCAGCCGCCTGGACCCTAAGCGCTAGTTTAGGGATCAGGGTGACGCTGTCCTGTGAAGGCCAGCTTTCGATGGGTTCGCGCCTTCCTTCGCTGGTGTAAAGGTCAGGGCTTAAGGTTTAGGATGAAGAGATACGGGATCGGGCATACGGGTTTCAGGTTTAGGGTGTAGGGCTTGGGCTGAGAGATGCCTAGAGCCAAGCGAGGGCGGGGGAAGAAGGATGGTCCCTATGAACCTTGAGTATGCATCCAGACGATGAGAAATCGGCGCACATGGCAAGATGCTGCGGGTTGCCAATGCACAAACCCAAACCCCAAACCCTAGTGAAACTGCCTGGTTCTTAGAAGGAAAATGGGGGAATGAGTACCCTGTATGATCCCTCAAAGGGTCTACATAGGGCCCTAATTCTCCCATTCCCTACTAAGAACCAGGGGATAAACTCTGAAACCGTGACAAACAGGAAGCGCTCTAAACCCACAAGCCCTACATGGCTCCCCAGCGGTCTTTCTCGAGTTATCTTTCATTGAATGGGGTTACAAGTATCCTTAAGAATGGGCAAGAAGGGGTCTTCCATAGACCCCCCCCCCCCCCCACTCCGCAATCAGGGGGAGGCATGCCCTTAGTGCTCGAAAACTGAGAGTCTGTTGCGGGCGGCTTATCAACACCCCCAGGCCGAACTCCACATTGAAAAGAGGGAAAGTATCTTAAGCCACATGTCCAGCGTCCTAAATCGAACTTTGAGAGGCATTGTATTATAGTGATTATGGATCGCATAGTCGAAGACCAAGAGAGGTGTAGAGTGAATTTACCACGTCTTAAGCAGCGGGGTTGCTCACTGCAAATCCGAACCTAAATCCTGTACCCTCAAATCTGAACCCTAAACCCCTAAACCCTTACACTCTTAAACCCCGAAACCCTTAAACCCTTAAACCCTTAAACCCTTGAACCCCTTAAATCCTGAAACCCTCAAACCCTCAAACCCTTGAACCGTCAAACCCTTACACCCTTGAAACCCTCAAACCAACAAAACCTCAAACGCTTGAACCCTAAAACCCTTGCCGTCGAGAAGCCGGTCACTTCTACTTCGTTCTCGTGGAAGAGATCCTCAGCATTCGAGGGTTTAGGGTTCAGGGTTTAGGGCTTGGGGTTTGGCCAGCCCCTATGTCCGGCACTCCCTGGTAGAATCGTGTTTTGTAGGGATTCCGGGGGGGGGGGGGGATTTTGGGGTTGTTTGTGCGCCTGGTGCGCTTTCGGGTGGGGATTTTGGGTGGGGCCTTTTAGGGTTTGGTCTTTGAGGAAGGGCCTGGGGGCTGTGGAGCACTAGGGTTTATAGGGGGACCCTAAACCCTAAACCCTAAACCCCGAAACCCTAAACCCTAAACCCTAAACGGGGCCAAGCTGCCGGTATTGCCGGTCTCCCGCATGGCAGGCGGCCGGGCAATACCCACCGTTTGGCACGCGACATCGCCTGGGGGTTCAGCTTGGAACGCCCCCCTCGTCTTGGTTTGGGCCCTAAACCGTAAACCCCTTCTATAGGGGCGCTATATAGGGACCATAAGGGCAGTATTTATTCCGACCCCTATACTAGACCTTGAAGGATATGTTTTTTAACGAATATGCTTAATCTAGTTTGTGTTTTAGGGCTCATAGCTTGCCCAGCGCGCTCGGGGTTGAGGATGCCATTGGTTCAAGGTTTCTGATTTAGGGTTTAGGGTTTCGGGTTTAGGGTTTAGGGTTTAGGGTTTTGGGTTTGGGGTTTAGGGTTTAGGGTTTAGGGTTTAGGGTTTAGGGTTTAGGGGTTTAGGGGTTTAGGGGTTTAGGGGTTTAGGGTTTAGGGTTTAGGGCTCTTTGCCATCTTAACCCCACCTGAACCCATCTTGGGTCCAAGTGGCTGGAAGCCACCGTCTGGTGATGGGTACAATGGGCATCTGTTTGGGTGCCCTGTGTCCTGCAGGGCAAAAAATCAATCTTGCGGGAACCCTGAAGCCCGAACTCTATACACAAAGAAGCGAACCCTCAGACCCCAAATGCTTGAGCCCACTCCTAAACCCAAAAATCCTCAGCAGTTCTTCGGAGGTTGCCGCTCGGGTCGGGGTTCTGCCTTTTCCCTTACCCATGCAAACGAGCAGAAAATGAGAAACATACGGCCAACAAGCTCTCCGCCCTACACCCCAATCAACCACCTCCGAAGCCCCGGTCAGCCAGTCAGCCCTAAACACAGCTCCTACACCCCCAGATGCTGACTCTGCGGGTTTAGGGCCGCATCGGGTGACCCAAGAGTAATCCGAGGAATAAACAAGATGCCCTGTTTGGTTTAAAGGGGCTTGTAAGGGGAACCTACACCCTCAAAAAAAGGGAGTGAGGGCCTGCTCTGGGTCCGAGCTTCAGTGAGAAACGTTAAGGCTTTTGGGGTTTGGGTGGTGGCAGGTGAGAACGGACTCGAAATCCTCAACCACGAGACCCTCCTTTGAATCTCGGAAGAGGTTGTATCATTAGGGTTTAGCGTCTGGGGTTTTGGGTTTAGGGTCTAATTAGGGTTTAGGGTTGAGGGTTTAGGGTTGAGGGTTCAGGGTTGAGGGTTTAGGGTGAGCCCTAGACCCTAAACCCTGCACATGGAAAAAGAAGTTGAGGAAGTTGCGGGGCCTTGAGAGAGCTCAACACAAGAATCTTAAAGTCTGAGCCTCAAGATCCCGCCACCCCAAACCCTAAACCCCAAACTGCAAAGCCCTCAATCCTTAACCCTAAACCCTAAACCCTAAAACACTCAACCCCAGACGCTGTGTCCTGGTGAACTTGCTCGTCAGCCGAGCTCTGTGCGTAAGAGTGCTTCTGGAACGAAGGGTTGCGTTATCGGTGACCTCCGTAGTGGCAGGGATCCTTCCAAGTTTAGGGCTTACGGCTTACGGCTTTTGAGGGCTCATCACTGAGGATCCGACAAGGCTGCAGCTACGCGGAAAAGACATGCCATAAGAAAAATACTTCGGCATCCTGAAGCCTCATTTTTTAAGTGTAGGCTCCTGCACGTTGCCGCCGCAAACCTGCTTCTGGCCGGTTGTAGCTTTCGGCTTTCGGCGGGTTTAGAACTTTCGGTCTCGTGGGCTTCGGGATTCAGAGTTTGGGTTTGAGAGGGGAATCTTGAGTTCAGGGTTTTAGCCATCAACCCGCGGACGGCGGCCGCAAGGCCCTAAACTCTACACCCTACACCCTAAACCCCAAACCCCAAACCCTAAACCCCAGACCCTAAATCCTAAACCCTACGTAACCTAGGAACTGGGACTGAGGGCATTACGGCTTAAGGTCGGCGCCTGGCTCTGGCTCCGACCGGTGACGCTCTCAGAGCCTTGGTAGGCAAGTGCCCCGTGCTGCGGTTTAGGGTTTAGGGTTTAGGGTTTAGGGTTTAGGGTTTAGGGTTTCGGGTTTGGGGTTTAGGGTTTGGGGTTTAGGGTTTAAGGTTTAGGGTTTAGGGTTTAGGGTTTAGGGTCTAGGGTCTAGGGTCGTATTACCCTAAACCCTAAGTCCTCACTCCTAAACCCTAAGGTACGGAGGTGTGACCTCGGAAGTACACCTTACACTCTAGACCAGAGATTCACAAGGGTTTGGGGTTTAGGGTTGAGGCTTTGGGGTTGAGGGTTTAGGGTTGGGGCTTAGGGTTTAGGATTTACCCTACCTAGAGGACACTTTTTCCGGGTTTGCGAGATAGAGGGTTGTTTTCGAGGGTTGTGGATTAATCTTTTGCGGCCGGCAATCTTGGGACACATGTCTGGTAGTTTTGGCTCAGCCTGCTGGGGGTCTGAGCACACAGCTTGCAGTTTTGGTTCAGCCTGCTGAGGGTCTCAGCACACCCTCCATAAACCCGGAACCCTAAAGAACCATTAAAATTCAAGCCTGTTGAAGCAGTGTAAGTTGCTCCGCTGTCAGCAGCACTAGGAGCCGTGGCTGCGTAGGAGATGGGCTTGGGTGAATAGCCTGGCACACATCATTCTTCTTCGCAAGGCTGGAGCATCGTTCGAGCAGTTTGGGGAGGCTGTGAAGCCGTTCTTCCTGCTTCCCCTTCAGGAACTAGATGCGCCTCGTGCGGCGCACGAAGCTGCAAAGGCGCAAGCAGCAGCGAACGTGAGCTAGCCGACAGTGGAGCAGCCAGCCGTGCAAACTGAGAGGCAAGTTCGTCCACAGCGAGGAGCGCCTGCAAGGCCTCGAGTGTTCAAATGGTAGGGCTGCCCCATGCACGGGGTGGCACGCAAGCCACATGTGTTCGGTGCGGGATCCCGCAAAGCTTGTTTCGACGCACACATTTGCTCCCAAGTTTTCAAGAGGAGCCATGGCCAGCCAGCCAGAGTGCATTGCCAGGAGGTCAACTCAAAAACAGTTGCGGGCCGGCCAGTACCGGTCATAGTATTTTGAGCTGCAGAACAGGCTGGCGAGGAGGCAACGATCGCTTTAAACGCAGCCACAAAACAGGCTGACCGATGGACATCACCCCCAAGAAAGAAGAAAAAAAAGCAGCGGCATGCCCGAAAATTGCCCCCAAAAGGCAATGGAAACGGCATCTCCAAAGAAAGCTAGGGGAGACAGAAAGAAGTCTGCGAAGCAACTCTGAAATCGTTTGAGTTCCACACGCAGGCCACGTTCTCAGCAAGGCGGAAGTCGCAGACCCAGCGGTCGGCACCGGTGGGTGCACACCAAAACCATGGAAAACTACCGCAGGCAACCGAACCCCTCTGCACGGTTTATGGTTTGGGGTTTCGGGCTTCGGGTTTCGGGTTTAGGGTTTAGGGTTTCGGGTTTAGGGTTTCGGGTTGATGGGGGAGCCGTGCGTGTTGAACAGAGGCACAGATCAGCGTGTCCATCTCGGACTCGCTGATGTCGGCCCCCCGCACCTGGCATGCCAAGCTTTAGATTCCCTGAGAACGCCCTAAACCCTAAACCCTAAACCCTAAACCCCAAACCCTAAACCCTAAACCCTAAACCCTACATCCGAAGACCCTGGGCCGCCACACCTTAACCGAAGACCCTGTAAGCCCTAAACCCTGAGCCCAAAATCTCGTAACTGAGAAGGGTTTAGGGTTTAGGGTTTAGGGTTTGGGGTTTGGGGTTTAGGGTTTAGGGTATAGGGTTTAGGGTTTGCCTGGTAAGCAGCCGGACGCGTGCAGGAAAGTTCCGTCTCCCAAAATAACTTGCTTCCGGGAAAGGTCATGAACACAAAGCCCTACAGCCTAAACCCTAAACTCCCTAAACTCCCTAGATTCCCTAAACTCCCTACTAAACTCCCTAAACCCTCCTAAACATCAGGCTGCGTCCTGAAACTCTAAATCCGTAAACAAGTAATATCGGGGCCATAAGAATTAGAGTGAGTTCTGGGGGTTAGTGTAGTATATCTATATAGGGACCATAAGGGAATACTATTCGTGATTATTCCGACCTCACAAAAACCGGACCAGCCTGATACACAGGGGCTGATCAAAGAAATCTGCCCGTTTGGAGTTCTCGTGATGTACGGGCTCGTAAACAGACACCCCGCGAGTCACCCTTTTTTAGGGAATCTACCACGGTCGAAGTTACGGGGGCCTTTTGAATCATAAAAGGAATCAATAGTTTGTCTCCGAAACGCCCTGTAGTCGCAAGCCCTGGCATTTAGGGCAACACGTGCCCGGGCGGCGGTGGCAGGCATGTTGTTCATGGGATGAAAGATGTCATCGCAGTCGGATCCGAATCTCAACGGTTCGGAGGCCTGCAAATCGGTTTGTAGAACCAGCAAAGTGATCCCTAAGGCCCTACACCGCCAAATCCCTAAACCCTACGCCGCTAAAGCCTCGAACCTCTTAAGCCCTGCACTCCCTAAACTCCTCAACCCCGACAACTCTCACCCCACAAAGCCCCTTAAACCCTGAAATCCCTCAACGTTTAGGGTTTAGGGTGTAGGGTTTAGGGTTTAGGGTTTAGGGGATGACTACAGAAAGAATTGTGGCGAAGTCCGGGAGTGCATGGAAGGAGCGTGGTGGGGTGGACGAATCTACCTAATCCACCCGAATAAGCCGTTCCTCCCCAAACCCTCAACCCGAAAGCCCGACAGCAGTACTGAATTTGCATAAGGATAACCCTAAACCTAATGTCCTAAACCTACATGAACCTTAAACTCTAAATACACCCCAAGTTGATAAACCATATAAACCCTATACCCTATACCCTAAACCCTAAACCCTAAACCCTAAACCCTAAACCCTAAACCCTAAACCCTCTCTTTCATATTTATATATATATATATATATGTATCGTTACACCTTAATGTCATTAAGGTTGGTCGCCAAAATGAGTTTTTCGCACCCAATTCGCACAAAGTACACCCCCAACCTTAATGAGGAACGTCGCCATTGGCAAACAAGCCGTGGCCATTGGCAACTTTGCCAATGGCCACGGCTTTTTGCCAATGGCCACGGTCTTTTTGCCAATGGCCACGGGCTTTTCGCCAATGGCCACGGGTCCACCAATCGACCAAAAACTCATGGCCGTTGGCGAGAAATCCGTGGTTGCCAATGGCCACGGCTTTTTTTGCCAATGGTCACGGGCTTTTTGGCAATCACCACGGGTTTTTTGCCAATGGCCACGGGTCCACCACTCGGCCAAAAAGCCGCGGCCATTGGCAAAAAACTCTGGGTCTGGTGCAGATGAGGGCTTCCCTTCTTAATCTTTCTCATCTGGAGTGGTTCGAGGGTGGGGTGGGGAGAAGCAAAGAACATGAGGTTAACAAACAAAAAACATGGGTTCACAAAATTAAGTGCTTCTTATTTTGCTGCGACTGAAGGTTCCCCGGTGACCGTGCTTCTCTTTGGGCTCCTGGACCCTGGACCGCTCCATGACAGAGTCCCCCACCCCCCCTCCCTTCGTCATGGAGCGGTCCAAGAGCCCAAAAAGAGACACGGTCACCGGGGAACTTTTAAATCGCAGGAGCCGCAATGCTCGAACAAATGCAGAAATTAAGCTATCAGCACCCCATCAAGCATCACGAAAAACCAGAAAGTACGCAATCAGCACCCCAGCAAGCACGAAAAAAATCAGAAAGTAAGCAATCAGCACCCCAACAGGACCCAAAAATCCAAGAATACGAGCAGAGAGAGAACGAATACAAGCAGCATGAATACGAGCAGAGAGGAATGAATACGAGCAGAGAGACAACGAAAACAAGCAGACTGAAATCGAGCAAAGAGAGAACGAACACGAGCAAAAAGAGAGCGAATATGAGCAGAAAGAGAACGAATACGAGCAGAAAGAGAACGAATACGAGCAGAACGACAACGAAAACGAGCAGACTGAAATCGAACAGAGAGAGAACGAACACGAGCAGAAAGAGAACGAATACGAGCAGAGAGAACGAATACGATCAGAATGAATTCGAGCAGAGAGAGAACGAATACAAGCAGAATGAATACGAGCAGAGAGAACGAATACGAGCAGAATCAAAACGAGCAGAAAGAAAACGAATACGAGCAGAATGAAACATGAGGTTGGGGGACAGGGCTTGCTGATGAAAAAATCAACTTGATACTTCTTAATGTTTTGGGATTCTCTGGGTGGGTGGGTTCTTTTCTAGAATCGAAACAGCGGCTCTACTAGAGATTGCTCGACTTGGAGTGACCCTAAACCCCAAAACCTACACCCTGAACCCTAAACCCTGAACCCTACACCCTAAACCCTAAACCCTAAACCCTAAATCCTAAACCCTAAACCCAAAGCGCCTCCGCCTCGCTACCGGACATGGTCTTCGCCAACGCCGGCTCAATGTTGGTCAGGTTGAGGACAGCTAGGCCTTCACTGTAGGGGCCTTAATAATTAAAATCGGGTTTAGGGTTTAGGGTTTAGGGTTTAGGGTCTAGGGTTTAGGGTTTAGGGTTTCGGGTTTAGGGTTTAGGGTTTAGGGTTTTGGGTTTGGGGTTTAGGGTTTAGGGACCATAAGGGAATACTACTAGTAATTATTCCGACCCCTATATTACTTGGAGGTTCACGGGTAGGGGTTGAGGGTTTGGGGTTTGGGGTTTGGGGTTTGGGGTTTGGGGTTTGGGGTTTGTGGTTTAGGCTACTTGAAGGGCCATGGGTAGTTAAAAGCAGGGTTATACGTTATAAGTACCCGAAGTACGGCTGTATCCAGTTCTAATTCTAGTTCCCATATTTGCAACCTTGCCTATAACTACCCATGAACCTCCGACTGTAGTAGTAGTAGTAGTAGTAGTAGTAGTAGTAGTAGTAGTAGTAGTAGTAGTAGTAGTAGTAGTAGTAGTAGTAGTAGTAGTAGTAGTAGTAGTAGTAGTAGTAGTAGTAGTAGTAGTAGTAGTCGTAATAGTAGTAGTAGTAGTAGTAGTAGTAGTAGTAGTAGTAGTAGTAGTAGTAGTAGTAGTAGTGGCAGTGGTGAGAGGGGGAGGGTTTTGGGGGGTGGGGGACGACTACGACGACGACTACTTCTAGTGGTCGTACGAGTAGCAATAATAATGGTAGTAGCGATGACTAACACACACGTTCTCACTAAAATTCTTACTACTAAACAAATATTCCGAAACCCTGTCCGAGGCCATCGTCTTGTGGGTCTTCGTAGCCAGGTAAGCATACTATGCAAAGGGTACCAGGGTTGGTCACTTTATAAGGGAACCTTGAACCCAAAAAGGGCAAAAGGGCACCACGCTACCAAGGGTTTGTGGCTCAAAAAACGAAACCGATGTCAAAGCATTTCCCAACCGCGACCCGCTTGCGGTGTCGGCAAGCATCTGACCTGCCAGATTGGGCGGCGTGGTAGATGCGCACGTCGATGAAGTCATTGGCACCATTCAGGGTTGCTTGTATGCAGCTATTGGAGCCTCAGCTGTGCTTTTGTTTGGGGCTTTCCGTAAGAACCCGCACACTTTTGCAGGCTACAAGGATCATGAAGCTCCCACACGGCTGGCTGGGGACCAATCAGGACCTCACGTCCCAAACACAAAGCCAGGGACTTTCTTGCATTCAAAACGCTCTCCTACTCAAGTTGGGCCCAAGGAGCCGTCCTGCGAGGAATTGAGCAAAAAGTTCAACACGCGCTCCCTGTCGTCATCTGCGACAACGTCCTGGGAAGAGTTTGAGGTTGGGGGGGGGGCTGTTCCTTGGCTTATGGTGTTTAGGGTAAGCCTGAATGGCCGCAGTGAACCTACGATCCGAATCTCTAATTTCTTGGCCTTCAAGTGCCGCCGCCTACTTGAGGCTCCTTGGTTGCGCATTGAGGACCTTACGCTTTGTTAGTCAAATTTTACGCATTACAAATCACTCTGGAGGAAACACCTGATAACCCAAGCCTGAAACCCACGCCCTCCACAATGGGTGTTGAGCTTCTTTTGGTCCAAGGGTCTAAGATCAGCCATGCGGAGAGGTTTTGACATGTTTCCACAAGCAAGTAAGTTTTCCATGCTGCCCCCAAATTCAGGATTTCTAAGCGAAGACATGAAAGGATGAGGGGTTCAGGGTGTAGGGTGTGTTCTGCACCCAAGCATCGAGGAAGGTACCATCAAAGTTGGCGGGGCTGATGCCAACGAAGTCGGACCAAGATGAGCTCGATTCCAGCATCCTAAAATCTCCCGAAAGCTCGACCTATCAGGACGCATGGGCAGTTCTCTAAAGATGAAAGGCTTGGTATAAAAAAATAAACTACAAAATTCGATCCACATTTTAAAGAACCCCAGTATATACTTACGAAGATACTAATTATATCTGAGATATTATCTGTTGTATATGAGATATATATATATATATGTAGAATACATCCACATATTACAAAGCTGTAAAATCACAGAGCATACATTCTCTCATATGGCAGGGTTTCAAAGGGGGGTTGTAGGGTTCAAGGTTTAGGGGTTTCTTTGTGTAGGGTACAGGAGGGCTTCATTCAACCTATGTCTTCAAACCCTGAGGCTGGACCTCGGCGTCGCAAAGCTTCTCGATGAGGCCTTGGCGCGCTTCGACCAGCGCAGAGAGGGCCTCTTCTGCCTTCGCGGCGTTGTCGAAGCCCCACTCGATCCTGGACTGCGCATTTGGGTAAACCCTAAACCCTAAACCCTAAACCCTAAACCGTTGCCTGAATTAGGGTCCCTTTTAAGGTCCGTATTCAGCACGGCACCCGGAAAAACAGGACCCCAAAAGGGGACCCTAACTTAGAGAGCTACCCGTGTGAGGGTTTAGGCCTTAGGCCCTAATGCATCCTGAATGCCAAGCATGTGCTCGTGTGTTCGGCTTTCGTGGTCAAGGATTGAAGCGTCACCTGCAGAACTTCGACCAAAAAGATTCTCTAGAAAGCTTAAGAGGCAGCTGCTGGCCGAAGAAGCACACTCCAGTGAAGACCAAGTACAAGAAGACGAGCTCGATGGTCATCATGACAGCACGTGCGTCAGAGCTCTGCACATCAAAAGCCACCAAGCCCGAGCAAACGAGCTCGCCAATGGCACATTGCCAAGGGCACATCAGTGCAATGGACAGCAGGGCCCTGTAGCAAAAGTAGACCACGCGGGTGGAGTAGTAGCCATCCCTAGCCTGACGAATTCGGGGTTTTTTTTGGGGGGGGGGGGGTTAGGGTTTAGGGCTCAGGGTTTAGGGTTTAGGGCTTTTTCGGGGGCGTTCAGGGTTTAGGCTTTAGGGCTTTCGGGTTTCAGGGTTGTAGGGTCTTCGGGGGTTTAGGGTTCAGGGTTCTGGCGGAGTTCAGGGTCCATGATACCCGAAAATTTAGTTCAAAAGACGATGAACTGCCCTCACTTCTGCAAGCACCTGATGAGCCCTACAGCGATGAGCTTCCAAATCTTGTTTTTGGGACAGGGCCCAAAGGGCTTGATTTCTGATCCCGAACTCTACACGACCAGGGTTAAGAGTTCAGGCTTTCGGGTTGACCACGGCCCCACATCTGTCATAGTGAGCACCACCAAACCCGCAAAAAAGCATAACTTAAATCAACAATTGGCAGGTTCATCGAAAACGTACATCTGTGCGAGAAAGGCAGGTCACGCGTACGGGGTGGGCAGGAGAGGGGGGGAAGGAAGGGTTGGGGGAGGGGGGGGGAAGTTGGAAGCAGCAAGGAGGGGGAGAATGGGAAGGGGGGGTGGGAAGGGGGGAGTGGGAAAAGAGGACCGAGAAGGAAGCTCACAAAGGCCACTCTTGCCCTAAAGGGAACTCCACATACGAAAAAGCTGACTCTCGCACAGCTTCTTCAATCACGCGCATCCACATACATACATTGACACACATGCGGGCCACACAGTCGTCATACAGCCACCCACGCAGCACAACTCACATAGCCTTAGTCACCAGAATGGTCACATGCGCGCAAGTTTGATGCTCCGAGTCGTTCGTTTAAAACTAAAGCTTTGCACACTGGTGGTGGGTGGTTGAAGTGGGAAAGGGGGATAGGGTTGGGTTGGCTCGGGGCTGGGCTGGTGACGGGTGGCGGGTGGCTCCCGGTCCAAGAGCTTGGTTGTGGGGTGTTTAGGGTTTAGGGTTTAGGGTTAGGGTTTAGGGATTTTGGGTTAGGGTTTAGGGTTTAGGGTTTCGGGTTTAGGGTTTAGGGTTTAGGGTTTAGGGTTTAGGGTTTAGGGTTTAGGGTTTAGGGTTTAGGGTTTAGGGTTTAGGGTTTAGGGTGGCGTTGGGTTGGGGCAGTGGCTTGGGCCTGGCTGGGCTGTGGGCTGGGTGGGGGTCTGGCAGTTTGGAAGACGTTTTGTTTCCTGAGTTGTTTTTTTCTAGGTGGTTCCTAAGGCAGAATCCAGCATCCGACTATTACAGAACGGGGGTCATGGTCAACTTTAGGATTTAGGGTTTAGGCCTGAGGCCTTGGGGTTCTGGTTTGAGGCATTTAGGGTGCGACTGGACAAGCTTGGGGGTCGCCGGCTCCTCGGCACCACAGGAGAAGGTGGCAATCTGCAGGAATGTCGCAAAGGCCCAGGGTAAGTAGAACGCGAGAGCAAGTTGCCAGTCGGCGACCTTTAACGCACCTCCTCCTGCCGGGTTCGGAGGGAAATCTTGCGTCTCATTAATAGGCGATGAAGCCATGGGTACATTCATGTGTTCCTGTACGGCCTACACTTCTGTTTTGTTCGATTGTGTATGTTCAATGAACATGTACATAGATGCTACATGATACGTATATGTAGTATCCGGATGCCTCGTGATGTATTTTGTTATCAATTTAGAACCAGGACCCTAAACCCTAAACCCCAAGAAAGGAACTACCAGGGGGCCAGGTGCCAACCGGCCTGAGAGCAAATGCCGATACAGAAAGGAGGCGCCGATCACGTTGCAGGCCATCGCCAGGTAGTCTAGCTCAATCACCGCGCGCCAACATTCCTGAAAGAACCCGAACCCTGTATGGTATAGGGTTTACGGTTCAGGGTTTGGGGTTTAGGGTGCGACAGGGTTTAGGGTTTGGAGTTGAGGATTGAGGGTTCGTTGTTGTTGTTAGCTCGGGGCGCCCAACTCCCTTGACCTTGGATCAATCCAAACGTTGACTCATGTGCGGCTTGGTTGCAGGCATAAACAAGAGAGCAGTGAAGCCACAGAAGAAAGAGGCGAGGCAGATGAGAATCCTAGGTCGTTCAGTAAGCACACCCTGGGAAAGAAGCATCTACTTTCGGGGGTGAGCTTGGGGTAAACCATAACCAAAAGAAACCCGAAACCCTATATGAATCCTGAACCACATGAAAATGTACTACTGAACAGCATAGGCGTCATGTAAGGCGCGCAGCGTTTCAGGACCAGCGCCTGTGCAAAGCAGGGTTGATGAGCAGGGTTGAAAAAAAACTCTGAGAACTGCAGGCTTTAGGGTTTAGGATTTCGGGTTTAGGGTATTGTGTCAGGGTTTAGGGTTTAGGGTTTAGGGTTGAGGGTTGAGGGTTGAGGGTTGAGGGTTGAGGGTTGAGGGTTGAGGGTTGAGGGTTGAGGGTTGAGGGTTGAAGGCGACCTATACATTGGGCCTCCGAGTTTAACACCGAAAGACAAGCAAGCAGCAGAATTTGAAAACGCAACCCTGAACTCTCAACCCTGAACCCTGACCCTATACCTTTGAGCCCGAAACCCTAAACCCCAAACCCTACACCCGAAACCCTAAACCAAGTTCCCGGCAGCAAGACCCCTGCACTCCTCCCCACCCCCCTCCAGACTCAGAGCCCCCTTCATCACTTAGGGTTTAGGGTCTAGGGTCTAGGGTCTAGGGTTTAGGGTTTAGGGTTTAGGGTTTAGGGTTTAGGGTTTAGGGTTTAGGGTTTAGGGTTTAGGGTTTAGGGTTTAGGGTTTAGGGTTTAGGGTTTAGGGTTTAGGGTTTAGGGTTTAGGGTTTAGGGTTTAACATCTCAAGTTCGAGCATTTACTAAGCCAGCAGTGTGTGTAGGCAACGGTAAAAACCCACCCGCCCAAAGAATCCCATAACATTACGACAATAGAAAGTGTGTTTTTGTTCGTGTTGAATAAGTGGGGCTAAAGGTGTCAGAGGGCCTGGGGATCAAATTTCCTAATTCGTGCCTAACAAAGGGGGGTCAAAGGGTTCAGAGGGGCCAACATGGATCAAATTCCCTAATCCCTGAGCAATGAGGGGTCAGAGGGGTCAGAGGGGCCAAAATGGATCAAATTCCCTAATTCGTGCTCAACAATGGGTGGTCAGAGGGTTCGGACAGGCCAAAATGGATCAAATTCCCTCATTCGTGCTGCACAATGGGGTCTCAGGGGTCAGAGGGGCCAAAATGGATCAAATTCCCTAGTTCGTGCTGAACAATGGGGGGTCAGAGGGGTCAGAGGGGCCAATTCGTGCTGGACCTGGGGGGTCAGTGGGGTCAGATACTTCGTGCTGAACAGTGGAGGGTCGAAGGGGTCAGAGGGCCAGCCTTGAGGGGTGAGGGCGTCATTTCTGCTATACAAATTCATTTAAAACCCATTGGGAATCGAGCACTTTTTCCCGAATCCTGGGGTAACCCCCTCCCTGGCCTTCTGAAGAGCTTGCTTAGAGAGGCCACACACAGAGAAAGGGGTCAGAGGGGCCAAAATGGATCAAATTCCCTAATTCGTGCTGAACAAGGGGGGTTAAAGGCGTCAGACGGGCCGAAATGGATCAAATTCCCAAATTCGTGCTGAACAAAGGGGGGTCAGAGGGGTCGGACAAGCCAAAACGGATCAAGTTCACTACTTCGTGCTGAACAATGGTGGGGTAAAAAAATGAAAAAAATGATCAAATTCCCTAATTGGTGTTTAACATTTAGGGTTATATGGTAGAGAGGTTTGAGGTTTAGGGTTTAGGGTTTAGGGTTTAGGGTTTAGGGTTTGTTCAATGTTCCGCGCACACCACCACGCGGGACGTGTGTTGTGGTGTGCGCCCAGGTTCAACGCTCTCTCCCAACCCACCCACCCACATCTCAACCTTGGGCGGGTTTAGGGTTTTCATATAGTTGTTGGGCTATCGCTTTCCGTATTATAATATAGCCTTCACACCTAATATCCTCGGTTCAAAAGCCGTCGACGGCCCCAGTCACACGTAAAATCCTCGGTTCAAAAGTCGTTGACGATTTATAATATGCTCGGTTCGGGTCGTGAAGATGACTTTAGACGAAGGGCCCCAGTCAAATCCTGGTTCAAAGGGCCGGCGACGGTATAAAATCCTCGGTTCAGGTGGTGGGGGCGCCCGACAAAGCTCAGAAATGGTCCGGAAGAAGCCCGAAATGGTCCGAGAGAAGCCCAGAAATGGTTTAGACGAAAGGCCCCAGTCACACAAAATCCTCGCCGGCGACGGTTCATACCATCCTCGGTTCAGGTGGTGGACCTAAATCCTAAATCCTAAATCCTAAATCCTAAATCCTAAATCCTAAATCCTAAAGGATGGAGAGACTTAACTTAAAAACCTAGGGTTTGGGGTTATTCTCTTTAGAGCCAGACTGTCGCTGGCACGCGGGTTCAACCCTTCTAGCGTGGGCCGCGCTCACCGCGCGCACTGGCCCCGAGCCCTCGCCAGGCTTCGCCTGACGGCTCGGGCTCGTCCGCGGGCCTGTCGCCACGCGGTAACGCTCGCTGCTGCTTATCGCAGCACCCGCAGCTCGCTTGAGTTTAGGGGTTAGGGTTTAGGGTTTAGGGTTTAGGGTTAAATGCCCATGCAGGCCCTTCATGACAAATACGGGCGCCTTCCACCTATCTGACACCCTTGGCCCCTTGCGACCTCAAGCCATCAGTCTTGGGATGTGTCCCCCTGATACCAACCAATCCTGAATAGGGATTATGATAGGGGGTACTATAGTCCCTATTCAGGACTGTTCGTATAAGGGGGAACATCCCAACGTGAACCCCCATGAACCGTGAGCCTTCGCCATCTCACGTTTGCAGCGGTGCTCGAACACATCTTCCGTCGAATTGAAATCTACCAAGTGGATGCAAATGCTCCTGAGGTGGGCCAACTTAAGAATCAAAAGAAACCCCTTTTTGTGCACTGGACGTTCTCACCCTCCCCCCCCCCTCCCGGAACCAAAACCCTTCACCCTTCACCCTGGACCCTCAACCCTAAACCCCTAAGAGCGACAGGCAGGGCTTCGTGTTTGGGGGGGTGGGGGGGGGGGGGGAGCTTCCAGTTGTGGGGCAAAGGGCTTGTGATGGCCTCCAGAGCCCGCACATTTTACGCCCTTCCCCCCTAAAGCCCCAGTTGAGCCTCGAGGGTGCCGGATAGGGGCCTAAACCCAAAACTTGAAACCTCGACCCAAGGGTTTAGGGTTTAGGGTTAGGGTTTGGGGTTTAGGGTTGAGGGTTTAGGGCTTGGGGCTTGGGGCTTAGGGCTTAGGGCTTAGGGCTTGAGGGTTTCGCGTCTAGGGTTTAGTGTTTAGGGTTCAGGGTTTAGGGTTTAGGGTTTAGGGTTTAGGGTTTAGGGTTTAGGGTTTAGGGTTTAGGGTTTAGGGTTTAGGGTTTAGGGTTTAGGGTTTAGGTTTAGGGTCAGCTCATTGTAAAAATCAACTACATGGGTGGGGTTGGTCTCGTCGTAGAACCGCTTTCGGGTGCCCCTCAATTGTGACTGGGTCCCCCGACACGGCCCCATGCAACCTATCGAGTCACAGTTGAACGTGACTCACTTCATTGGCTTCCGTATTCATGCAAAAAGAGTTTGGAAGAGAAATATTGGTGAGCTGCCAAGACACCGGAACCATACAGGGGACGTGGGAAGGCTCATTCACACATTAACCAACGTCATGCATTCGTTCCCATGGCTCATTCCCTACAAATGAGTCAATTTCGTTTAATCACCAGCACTCATGTCTCGCGAATGCTGATGATAACTTACAGACCGCATGACCCTACCGCCTTGGTGAACAACACATTCTTGGGATGTGTTCATATGAGTGCTGAATCTGTAAAGGGAGCATGTGGTTCACCCACTTGGGTCCTCCTGCCCACCCAGTTTTAATGCGGCGTTCATTGCATTCCCGTCTCACAGAATATTCGAAAAGCCACATTAAACGATGAAGAATATGCGAGAAGCCGCATGAAACGATGGGTCATGGTTAACCGCTCCTCCTTTAAAAACCGTAAAAAGACAGGCAATTTCGTGCGAACACTTTATATTGAAAGGGAGCATAGATGGCCTCCAGTGTCTTAAAGGGGGAAAAGTCAACTGTTCTCTCCCTGTCACACTTTGAAACCCAAAGTCTGTTTCCACACCACTAAGAACCCCCTGAGCGCCCCCGAAATAACCTTGTCGTGCTGGAACTTCGTGCTAGACCAGACCCCTCAGCTCTTCAGCACACGAGGCCTTACATTCTGAAGATAATGACGTTCAGGGTTGTGGTTTGGGTCTCTGATTTCGTTTTTTTTTGACCTGAACCCAAGACCCATGAACCTTCAGCCCCAAACCCTTCCGTGCCCGGAGGGGCTGGGCATGTTCAGGGTTTAGGGTCTAGGGTCTAGGGTCCAGGGTTTAGGGTTTAGGGTTTAGGGTTTAGGGTTTAGGGTTTAGGGTTTAGGGTTTAGGGTTTAGGGTTTAGGGTTTAGGGTTTAGGGTTTAGGGTTTAGGGTTTAGGGTTCCGAAACCAGAATTCCATAAATGGCTGCAACTTCTCCCCTCTTCGCGACACTCCAGAATGTCTTGGGCTTACGTTTAGGTAGAATGTTTTGGGCTTAGGCTTAGGTAGGGCTTTTCGGTCCATGACTTGGGCTTCAGGAGGTGCTGGGGGTAGAGAAATCGTTCACCGATCTTGTGGCCCCAGAAAGTGCATTTCATGGCGGGTTTGCTAGAGAGCCAAGCCCAAACATTGAATTGAAGCACAGAACTTGCCGTACAGAAGAAATGGCAGAGAAGGCCCGCAGCCAGCCTCAGCCCCAAAACCTTAAGTACCCAAAGCCTAAACCTTCAACCCTCTACCCTCTACCGTCTACCCTCTACCCTCTACCCTAAACCCTAAACTGAGTGAGCCCGGGGCCGTCGAGCAGGGCGAACGCACCGAAGCCGGCAGGCGAGGTACCCAGCAAGGGGCCTCAACCCAAGGCCTGCTTTTCAGGCAAGGCAAGAGGCCTCCTAGGCAGCGCACCACAGTTTCCAGTTCTCCTTTGTGAAAGTGCCAAAGCCCGAAGGTTTGGGCTTGGGGCTGGCTGCCGCCTTCGCCCTTGGATGCTGCGTCCTGGTTGGGGGCCTGGATCCTTGCAAAGGGCCTCAAGCCACGGCTTGTTTTTAAGCAAAAGGGTTCGAAGGGCACAGCCCGCAATCCTCCACCGCGCAGCCCGCAGCGCCTGCGGGACTGGAGCTCCGTCGGAGGGCTTCTGGCCTGGAGGGCTTGGGAGGTTCCAGGCCCCTGCCTGATTGGGAGGCCCTGGATTGCGGTCAGGGCTGACCCTGCCCTCCTGACGACCCTGACCCGCATCCAAGGGCGAAGGCGGCAGCCAGCCCCAAGCCCAAACCTTCTCGCTTTTGCACTTTCAGAAGATTTACTGGAAAACTGTGAGTTTCTGCCTAGGAGGCCCCCGCCTTGTGTGAACCCGCCTGAACTTGGGTTGAGGCCCCTTGCTGGGAGGCCCTTTCAAGCAAGGGATCCAGATCCCCAACCAGGACGCAGTGTGGGCAAAGGCGGCAGCCAGCCCCAAGCCCAAACCTTTGCGCTTTTGGCACTTTTAGAAAGACTCACAAGACCACCACGCCTCCAACAAGGCCTTCCAGATGCAGCACGCAGCAACCGCCCATCCCAACCGAAGGCGGCAGCTAACCCAATCCCAAACCTCTATCAGCGTGGCGAAAGCCCAAACCTCTGATTTCACGCCCTTCCAAGCAAGTTTTCCAAATCCCCGCCCAGCACGCAGCATCGCCGAGGGCGAAGGCGGCAGCCAGCCCCAAGCCCAAACCTCTGACTTTTGGCTCCTTCAGCAGCCCTCGACTGATAGACATCTCCCTTGCAATGCCTAAGGGCTGCGACCTTCAGGGTAGTTGATCTGCATCGATGCCGAGCTTCTAAACCCAACCAATAGACAAGAAAAAAATAACAAAAGCACGATCAGAGTTCAAAAGAACCCTAAACCCGGAAAGGTTAAGGCGAGGGTGGAGCGCCAGCGGGGGTGGGCTTATGCAAGTCGGGGCGCGCGCCTGGGTGCTTTCAGCACCAGCGCGCCCACTCATTGAGACACCCTAAACCCTAAACCCTAAACCCTAAACCCTAAACCCTAAACCCTAAACCCTAAACCCTAAACCCTGAACCCTGAACCCTGAACCCTGAACCCTGAACCCTGAACCCTGAACCCTGAACCCTGAACCCTGAACCCTGAGCCCCCCCCCCCCCCCCCCCCCCCAAAAAATCAACTGGGCATCCTCAGCTGTGGGCGGACTTTGTCATCCAAAGCGAGGAGACCACAGCAACCTCGAATCGATGTGGTTGCACCCTTTGGGTTTGGGGTTTGGTGTTTGGGGTTTAGGGTTTAGGGTTGTAGGGTTTAGGGTTTAGGGTTTAGGGTTTAGGGTTTAGGGTTTAGGGTTTAGGGTTTAGGGTTTAGGGTTTGGGGTTTATGGCTTAGGGTTCGCTTGGAAACACACCTCAAACCCCAAGCCTGGTCCCATAAGCCCGAAATCAGCGGAGGGGGGGGGGGGGGGGGTGGAGAGAGTGGGAATGAGAGTTTAGAGAGACGGTACCTTCAGGGATCACCGGGATCACCGGAGAAACTCTTGTAAGGGGTTGTAGGGGTCAAATGGTGGCTATATTGGGGGGCTACTTCGGTGTGTAAACAAAAATGCTACCCTCCTCCCAAAACCCACCGCAATCGTATTGTGTGACCATGTGAGGAAGCGTGTAGTTCTACGAGCAGACGTTTTTGTGACCAGGCCCCGTGAAGGCTACGAAGGCTACCCATAAGGCTCAGGGGTCTCAAAAAGCCCCGACTGGGGTTGCAATTTTTTGCCTATATGTACATATATAGATATACATATATATATATATATTTATTTATTTATTTATTTATTTATTTATTTGCTTATTTATTTACCTATTAGAAATATATGTATATATATATATAGTTCTTCACTCTCTTCGGGCCACTACCTATTAAGGTTCCCGCCTTCTCCTACCTGTTGGCTAGAGCCACACCACAGTTGTAGACACAACATCAGATCATAAACGAACGATTTAAAAGTTCTGCACTGTCTCGTCATAGCAATGATTCATCGGTCTGCCGCTCTATTCGACAGCGCCCTGTGAGCTAGTCTCTTATGAGGTGGCATGCTCGCCCGGAGTTGAACTGATGATATCCGGCCGGATCTACCTGGTACGTAAGGCGCTGACTAGTCCATTAAACTGAGTGCTTCGTTGAAAGTGCTGCATGTGTAGCATGGCCTGTGATCTAAATACATATGAAAGTCACTATGTGGCAGCGTTAGTTGCGCTGGGCTCTCTATAATACTCGGTGGCAAGCCCTTGGGTCGAGGGTTTAGAGCTTTAGGGCACATGCGGCCAAGCAGCAGAAGAAGGCGGTCAGGCTTAATGGAAGATCGTTCAGCATTGCACGAGCGGCAGGGGAGGACGTACCATTATGAAAAAACAAAAAGCACGCAACTTAAACCCACAAACAATATCTAAACGGTGCTTAATCATTTGTGTGTGTGTGCGTGTGTTGATTGGAACTGCGTGCGGAAATGCGTCTAGTCTTTTTTCATGTTAGTTCATGCCCATACACTTGCAAACTTTCAAAAGCATTCGATGCTTCTATTACGTTCTCTGTAATATTGCATCACTGTGGCCGAATGCTCTTTGAACCTATGCATGATGGAAGTTCGACTTTCCAGTTCCAGGGTCGACAGCCCGAAACCACAGGGATAGGCGTGCGACCAATAACCTGAACACCTCCAGCCAAAATGCAGAGCATGGCGTATGAGGGGAATTTCGAGGGGTCGGAAAAATCACTAGCAATATTCCCTTTATGGCCCCTGTGTAGTTATACTACAATAACCCCCAAAACCCTATTCTAATTATTATTCAATATTCGGGGGTGCCTTATTTGGGTCTTCTTATAAGGGAATCCTCCCTTATTTTCGGAAACCCCCCCTTTAGTGGCCCTCCATAATGCTTTTTAGCCTTGGGCTTGGATGTTTCCTGCTTCAGGGGCTTGGGGCCCCAGCCCGCCAGAGCCTGCAAAAGGGCACAACGCAGCGTTAACTTGGCAGCGTTAACTTAGGACTGTTTGGGGTTTAGGGTTTAGGGCTTAGGGTTTAGGGTTTAATTAGGGTTTAGGGTTAATCCTAAACCCTCAACCCTCAAACCCAAACCGCAGGGTTCAGGGTTGGGCTTAGGCATTCCGACGGCGGGGTTTTTGGGGTCCAGGGCTTGCGCGCTTCCCCAACTATAGAGCTGAGGGTTTAGGGCCCCCCGAAAGACGACAAGCATCAAGAGTCCGGCTTTAATTCGCCTTTGGGGTTTAAGGGGGTTTAGGGTTTAGGGTTTAGGGTTTAGGGTCTTAGGGTTTAGGGTTTAGGGTTTAGGGTTTAGGGTTTAGGGTTTAGGGTTCAGGGTTCAGGGTTTAGGCTTTAGGGTTTAGGGTTTAGGGTTTAGGGTTTAGGGTTTAGGGTTTAGGGTTTAGGGTTTAGGGTTTAGGGTTTAGGGTTTAGGGTTTAGGGTTTAGGGTTTAGGGTTTAGGGTTTAGGGTTTAGGGTTTAGGGTTTAGGGTTTAGGGTTTAGGGTTTAGGGTTTAGGGTTTAGGGTTTAGGGTTTAGGGTCAACTCCTGAACCCTCTGTTCGTTGTTTGGGGTTGGGTTCACTTGGGCTTCGAACTTACGAGAGGTGCACACTCGGGCAATTCGGGAGATTCTCCGACGAACTCAGAAGAAACGACCAATACGTAGGTAGATCAGAGCTGCAGGCTGGGTTTGGAGTTCGGGATTGATAAGGGCCTTTTCGGGTTCAGAGAACTAGGCCTTTCGGTGGCACCAGATCTCCGAGTGACAAGCTGGCCTTGGGGCGAGCCAGCTCTGCAAGAAGCAAGCGCGAGCTTAGCCCTGAATCTATAACCCCAAACCCTACACCCCAAACCCTAAA